GGCTTCCAACGCCTCGGCTGCTCCTCTCGGAAAGTGGTGTTTTACTGCCTTCCTCCCCGCTGGGCAATGAGGAATAAAAGGCTTTTGAAGCTTCTTTCACTTCTCTGAGGGCTGGAAAGGAAACGTTATCCAACGGCAAGACTCTGCTGGAGTCTTGTAGAGGGTAACTGAAGGGACCTGCAAATTTGTGGCGGAGAAAAGCTTTTTGGAAAAACAATCGGATGCTTTAGCACCGCGAGGGTGCTAGTGCAAGTCTACGTCGGTTTGTTTCAGCCCCATCATGGGGACGGGCATGTGTTCGAGGAGGCAGAAGGGGCTTCTGCAGACTGGGTTTTGCCTGTTGGCTGTGGCATGTTTGGGCTCGGGAGTTTTCATGTACAATCACTTGCAGCAAAAGGTGAGGAACACTGAAGTCCTTGCCCAGAAATACAAACAGCAGCAGGAAGCACTGTCTGCTCAGCTCCAAGGTGAGTGACCTGCTGTGTGTGTGTGCACGCAAGCGCATGCACCTTCTGAACTTCCTTCTCTTCCAGCACTGCCTACTGGTATTTTCTCTGTACAGCCCTGTGACCAGTTGAATGCCTTTGTGCAGTGAGGTTCAGCTTTTGGCTTTAAAGAGCTTTGAGAAGACATTGCCTCCTGTTTCTTTCTCCCCTTTGCTGTCTAGAATTAGAGTAGCTGTGAGTTTGAATTGCTGCACACAGCAGCAAGGGGAAGAGTGTGCTGGATTGGTGAGTTCAGCTGTATATGGTCTACCCCATGCTTCCTTCATATAGTTCCCTTTGGTCATAAAGACCTGTCCTATGATACTCTAAATGTAAAGTAATGAAAATGCAAACAGAGTGTATACATGGTCAGGCTCAGAGAGACTAGAGAGCTCTGCTCTTTGGCCTGTGGGAACCTCTGTCTAGAAAGTGAATAGAGAGACAAAGGCTTCTTTAGTAAAGTTTGTCATCACACTGTCTATTGCCCATTGCTTTTGCAAGAGAAGAAACCCACCTCCTTTTTGAGAGGTTGATCTGTGGCTCTAGAAAAGTATTGTCAGCCTGTTTGGGGCTGATATGTGCTACAGCACTGAGCTTGCTAAATGGGAGATGGTAGAAATTGGCTTTTCTGGGCCTGCTTCAGAGACCTAGGCTGTTGTAGGTCAGTGAGCAGTCATGACAGGAGCACTTGATTCCTTCAGCCCTCCTTAGATAAAATGTCTAACTGTGGCAGAATGACATTCTAACCTCTGGAGAGATCCTGGCAAGGAAGGCTGAGGGCACGTGTTTTTCTAGACTTCCTGTGTCTGCCAAAGCGCTAGTGCTAGCACCTTTCACTAGGTTTGGAGTCGCTAGTGGGATTTGCTGAGCTTCCTGTAGAGAGGTTTGGTAGGAAACCACTTTCTGGTAGCCAGCAGTTGTGTGTGCAACACTGGAGGGTGGATTGATCCTGGAGTGCCCACGGAATTAAGGTTATGCAGACAAACCTTGCCCATATGGGGTTCTGGTGCCTCATGATCCAGTGACTCATTTAACACTTTCTTCTAAAAGGCAAGCCTAGATTATACTTTTAAAATCCAGATCTATTGGTATATACAATGACATCCTTTCTATAACCTGTATTGCTGGGGAACTCTGCAGATCCCAGTTACTCAAGATATGTGTCTTCTGAGTTAAAACATTTTCAGGTGATTTTGTGTGCAGTACTGTGATGGTGATTTAACATGACACACATACTACTTATGTTCAGGGCTTGTATTTCATTCTGTAAATTGGGAAGATAAGGGTTTTTGAAGCATGCTTCCTTAAGAGACAGCCTTCTAAATTGAGCTAGTCTGTGTATAGGTTCACAGCTGTGGTCTTACCTATTGTTTCCATTTCTTCTTACTCCATCAATTGAGGCATTCAAACAGCTACAGCTCTTAACATGTTGCGCAGCCCCAGCCATGGTCCTGTGTTTCTGAGATACGAAGATCAGCAGTGCAGAATTTAGCTCGTGTTTGTTTCTTGTGTGTCAGCATCTCTTGCTTACCGTGGAGAGAGGGATGGTTCTTCACAGAATAAGCTGACAGTAGTAGCCTGGGAGAGTCCAGGTTCTGGAAACAGCAGGCTCAAGCAAACAACTGAGTCAGGCTCATAATATTTTTCCACTCAAGCATGTTTGAATGGCAGAGCTGTAGCCTGTTACTGAGGTTGCTAACTCACTGACAGCCTTTCCATTCCTGAATAAAGTTGTTGCCATGGATACCCTTTTTATTTTGAGAATACATTTGTCTAGCTATTTTAACAAAGGTGAAACTTCTTGGATTTGGCTGGTGCAAGAGGCCTAGAGGTTAGCAGATAGGAGCAGTGATATATGGCACATGTTGCTGTGGCCCTAGTGCTGCCTTCTTGCACTACTGCTACCTGTGCTGATCTGGTGCCGCAAGCAGAAGAGCATGGGAGTCGGAGCTCCTGGGTGTTCTGTTCCTGGTCCTGTGCTGTCTCGTTGCATGGTTTTAATTGTGGTATGTATTCTCCATCTGATTTCTCTCTTTCCAGCCTTCCAAAGGAAGGACTGTGTTGTTATGAGGTGGAATTCAGTACTGTTTATCCAGTGCTTCAGATGTGTCCTTTCACCTACCAAGTTTATTTCTTACTCTTCTCATACTTGAGCACAAAATCTTGTTAATGCTTCTGGCTGCCTCTTTAAGTAAGGTTTGAAAATGCAAGGGTTGGATCAAGAGTGAGTGAAAGGAGAAGGAAAGCAAGCGGAGGAAGCAAAGCTTTACTCATTGCAGAGCTGTCTTGAAGTCAGCAATGCTTGTCCTGTGTGTTCTCTATCAGCTGCAGGAAGGGAAATGGATCTCATCTGCTCTGTTTTAAAATAAGAGCAAGGGAGCTGCTGAGTTTGCTGGGAGGTAAAACACACTGTATGAAAAGAAGATAAGGAACTATTGTGACCTGTGTGTGTGTGTCCCTGTCCAAGCTCTTGTAGCCTGCCCAGTGACTAGTACCCTTTGTATCAGCTAGCTTTGCTGTTGCATGCAGAGGTTGCTCTGTTTACTGTGACTTGGCTGACCTCCTTTTCATATAGCGGTCCAGGTGTAGTTGCAGAGGATTCTGCTTGGCTCTTCTCTCCATGTATGTCTCATTTCTGCTGGATGGGGTTTGGAGTATATTTGAGTAGGCGTGAAGCCTTCTTGACAAATGCTAGGTTCTGCCTTAAGGGCTGTGGTCTGGGGAAGTCTGGTGGTATAGCACAAGGTTCAGAGGGGATTAGAGAAAATTTGATAGTCTGTGACCTGGTGTGCGCTCTGGATTAATTTGTTCTATATCCCCCCCCCCCCCACCCCAAACTCATGCCATGCTGATTTGTGTAGCAAGTGGCTTTAAAAGCAGAGCGTCCCCTGCTTTTTGCAGGTGTATGTCTGTATGTGTGTGCACTGTTCTCTGAAGGCCCTGGGGGAGTGAAATCGGAGAGATTTTATTTCTGCCAGTTCGCTAACAAGCGGTACTCTTGGAACAGAAAGGAGGGGAAGGGATGCTTACAACAGCATTCGTTTGCCTTTGACCTCTCCAATGCTGCCTGACAATGGCATGTTCAACTGGTGTCTGGGCTGGAGGAATTCTCTCTCACAGTGGGCTGCCATTGCACCGTGGCTGAGCATGAGAATACAGCTCTCCTAGCCTCACTGTTAGGTGTCTCTTACATGCTGTATTTCCTTTGCCATCCTTCTTGATTAGAGAAGGGTGTATGATGAATCTGACTTTTGTTCTTCTTCCCTTGTCCCTTGCTCTGGATTATTCTTGAGCATGGCTGCTGCCTCCCTTCTTGGGAGAGCCGTGAGTAGTTAATTGTCGTGTGACTGGATGGAGGCTGGCAGGAGTATTTCCTTGATGTCTATAAGGAGAGCAGCAGGGAGAAAAGCTTTTCTAGGTTAATAGCTGGGGGAGGGGAAGGAGCACAGTGAACTCTGGTAGTCTGTGTGCGCTGAAAACTACTTGGAGCTGCAAGCTACTGGCAGTACGATGAGCCTTTCCACTACGTGTGCTACTGTCATAGTCATGACCCAACAAACTCTGCACCGTGCCTGGTTGTAGCAGAACCAGGGCAGCAGATCTGACACCTCTGCTGCCCTGATCCATCGAAGCAGGGAGATAGCATTCACTAATGGCTTGCACAGGCAGAGGTAAAATGGAACCTTTTGAACAAAAGAAAGACAGTAAAACCTGGGAACAGACTCTTGGTAAGACTGGAATCACTCTCCCTTTATGGAGCTCTTAAGCTCTCCCTCACAGATGCTTATCTTAGTACAGTTGATGGTGCTCTGGGGCACTGGGTTATGCCTTTACATGATAACCTGGTTCCCTGTGGCCTTCTAAAAGGAGAACAAATCTGTGAATGGCCTGACCTGTTCTCCTTTCCCAAAGGTAAGGCACTGCAAAGGATTCCTTTGTTTTGGCAGTTAAAAATTCCACATTTTTTGCTTGTTTTCCAGCAAGTGAGTGTTTTAGTTCTGAGTTCTGGTTCAATTCCAACCTGGAATTGGACATTCACCACCTTCCATTCCCTTTTGTAATTGCAAATTGCTAAAGACTTTCTGTCCTCTGAAGCTATGTAGTGCCATTTTGGTCTACTAAGTTACTGCCATGTTCCACCACAGAGATGAGTGGAGAGATTACTTTATACTGCAGATACTCTCTGCTTTGTGCAAAGTTGAATCTGCCTTTTTGGGGCTCTGGAGACCTAGAGGAACAACAGGAGAGATGACACAACTTCCTACTCACTGGAGGTTAGTTCAGCTTATCTCATTTTTAAACAAAGTGTCAGGAGACCCAAATTTTGTGTCCTAAGCTTCCGAATAAATCTTCTATGATATGGAGGTGTTCCTGAAGGCTGGTCCACTTTGCAGTGCTTGCATTAGGATTTTGGTTATGTATGTTTGGACCTAGTCTATTGCTACAGATGCTTTCCTGTTCTTCAATTTCCTATTTACTATGCAAGAGAATAGTACCTGGTAGCTTGGGGTTATATGAGCATACCTTTGCTGCAAAAAAATAGTTATTTCACTTGCCTGGTCCAGTGCTCTCTGAGAGCATGTGGCTCTGGAGTAAAGCTGTAGCTGTTTCGCTTCCCTCCTGTGGTAGTAGGGGGCAGTAAGCCTGGAGAGGTGGATAACTTGCCTGTGTGGGGTGAATTTCTAACCCTTTTCATACACTCTATATTCTTCCAATCAACTTGAGTTACTCAAAACTAAATGAAACACCTGCTGAAGAAACACCAACATGGGATGTTCCTCATAGCCCAGAGCTGCTCAGGCAAATACACACTGGAAGCTCAGAGCGCATGAAAGGACATCTTAAAAGCTGTTAATTGGTGGGCATCCCTGTTAGACCATGCCATGACTTCACTGTTGCCCTGAGGTTCACATCAAAGACTTGTCCTCAGGTGCTCTTCTAGGTAAGATTGCAAGAAAGTGAGATGCTCTTAACAAAAGCTAGTGTGCCCGGAGCTGATGAGGCTTTTGGGAAGTGGCTGGTGTTTTTAAGATGACAGGTTCCTTGAACAAGGCTTCTTAGCACAAATGGAAAAAGCACCCGCAATCTCTTGTATGCTACCCTGGACATGTATTGAGCTGGGCAGGGTAAGCTCTCAGAGTGACATCTTTTTGAGTAGTCTGTTGAAAAGTGTTTCTAAAAATAAAGCTGTCACTGAAGTGGGCACTTGGACAGCTGCAGTGACAGGCTCACTGCTCATCAATGTGCTCAGGAGGGGAAAAATCTTTCCAGATTAGAAACACAAATATTTCTGCTGTGATGGCTTGGAGAATGCATTTGTGTGTTGTTTTTGTCTTCCTTGCTTTTACCTCATAATATTTTCCTGTGAAGTGAGGTCACACATCCAAACTGAGAAATAAAGTGGCCCAGCCCAGGTGAAGGAGCCTCACCACTGACACGTCTGTCCCTTTTAACTAGGGATGGAGAAGGAAGGAAATCATGGAGGTCGAGACACTGGGAATTTCTGGCATAGGATGTTGGTCTTTCATGCTCCCTTAGGGAAGTCGAAAGTGAGGGAGGGAGTTCGATGGTTCAGAGAAGAGACCTTGGCCTTTAATGGATGTTTGAGGAATGGCTCCTCATCCTGGAACTGGACTGAGCTTGTCACATGATGAGCCCAGGCTGGTAGAGCCTAAAGAATAGTCCTTGTATTGTTCAGTGTTGCAATAAAAGCAGTGTACTCCAGGAGAAGCCAGTTTGTCTGTCTCTTGTACTGCTGAAGTCTTGATTTCAGTATAGGAAAAGTGTTTGCCTGGAGGCACTGAAGATGCTCCGTGCGGTGCAGCAGGATACTGGGAAGTCTGGATGCAGTTTGCATCTTGGTGAGCTGGAGCCTTACCAACTCTAGTATCTAGGTTGTCGGCCTATCTGTCTAGGTGGGGCAGTACCTCCGGAAGGCTTGGGAAGCAGCCAAACTTCATGATGCCTGGTTTGGAGTATCACTCGAAGAATTACATTCTTTCTCCCCAATTTCCTCAGGTACTCAACTGTTGCTGGACATGACCGAATATTAATAAATCACTTCTGGTAAACCAAAGTATTACCGGAGGGAAAAAAAAACCCTCAGGCTTGGATCCTGACAATGTCATGAGCTAGGCTTAAACATGAAGTTAAACTAGCACTAAAGGTTCTTTTTCCGTGCAGGACAGGTTATTTTCAGCTATGAAGAAAAACACACTCCCTGTATGTGGAAGACACCTCACTGTGAGGTTCCTGGTAAAGCCACCAGGCTTGGATTTGCTGTGATTCAACAGAAAAGAAATACTTGCCCTGCATAGATGGACATGGCTGGTAGTGGGATGTGTGCATTCTCTTCTATTCAGTTGATTTCCTGCCTGGCCTCTCTCTATGAATGGAGTTCTTGCGCTGTGACACCATATGAGTCTTGTGGGTAACAACACTCGAATGATCTTGACCCTTCTTACAAAACTTTTGGGGATCCTGCAGATAGGAAATGGTACAGGAACACAGAGCCTGAGAGAAGTGAGTCTGTGTGGCTGATATCGGGGAGTATTTCTTTCCACCATACTTTTTGCCCTGTTGGGTGCATGCGCCCAGCACTCTGATCATAGCATTGTGATCAAACATTTTGCTTTCTTCTTGCTCTGCCTGCGGGGTTGCTCAAGGTTTGACAGATATGTAAAGTGCAGAAATAGAGATCTCACTTTGACAACTTAACTAGGCTTCACTTTACTTGCAGTGTCTGGAGACTAAAACCCACGCATGGGTACAGGAAGATGTGATTGGCCATTGGGTTGCTATTTGTTTCTGCCTCCCCCTCCCCCCCCACAATGGGCTACAGAGGTGTCAAACTTGCAGATGTTAAGGCCAGGAAGGACTGTTCTGATCACGAAGTTTACTGGTGTAGTCCAGACCTCAACCTTGAATTTCTGGATGAGCTGTAGTATCTTTTGGAAGATGCCCTGTCCTGATTTTAGGATGCCAGTTTCCTATGAGCTTTTCTCCATGTGTATATTGAAAGTGACATCTGCATTGCCCTAGGCTTGGTGCCACTGATGGTCAATGCTCTAAAATATTAGATGTACATGTGGAAGTTTCATGTCTACTATTTCCCCAGGCTGGAGCATCTTGTGTCAGGTAGCAAAACACCTGTTAGCACAGCACATGTGCTGCCTTTGCTGTTCCCACGTGACCTGAGTGAAGCCGGCAGCCTCTGTGGACTCACCTGCAATGAGAGGGTGAAACGTGGGGCTTCTGGCTTGGCAGGGTCTTGGAAAGCAGTTGGATTAGCAGTTGTTTTATATGTGGAAAAAATCATCCCACTTTGCTCATTTTCCTGGAGACTGCATTGTGGCTTGACTCATCCCAAAGATCTTGACTCTGGAGGCAAGTTTCTTTTTCTTCCTCCTCTGAATTGCAGCCCAGTGCCGTTCTGGCATGGTGTCAGTCTTTGTCTGGGTAGGGGAGTGTGGAAGAGCCTGTTGCAGCTGAGTGCTGTGACTCAGGCAAAACTCTTGGTTAGCATTCAGAGTGGATTAAAATCATCATCCATCAGGAGGCTTCTCTGGCACTTCCATTTGTCATGTGGCTGCTGCACAAAACACTGTGTGCGGAGCACAGATGCTGTTGTGTGAAATAGAGAGAACTGCTTGGCCCATTTATCCTTAGTGGCTCTTGTCTATCTGAGGGCCAGTTAATGAGGAGGAAGGAGAGGGGAAAGGGAAAACTCTCTCCTGCATGCTGATGATGCCCTTACAGAGCTGACGACCTCAAAGGCTCTGGCCATCTTTAGCCTGGCAGTGGGCTTGGCTTGTAAATGTACAGTTCAGCCACTGGCTGCTAAACCCAGCTCCTGGGCTTCACAGTTTAGACTACAAAGCTTGATGGAGAGAAACTTGACCACAAATACTCACAGGATGAAGGGCTGGTGTGTTTTATCAGGAATTGCCATTATCTCCTGACCAACAGCCCCCGCCCTGCTCCAGTCCTTATCTATTCCCAGTTGACAAAGAAATGTAAATAGTTGGTAACTGGATCTGACCTTTCCGATGTTTAGGGTAGCAGGCATCTGAAAATATTTCAGAATTGTTGATTTCCTTGGTCTGGTTTTTATGAGAATTACTGTGTGCTTAAAACCTGGAAAGCTGTAGGGTTGCAGGCCATTCAAAAGAGGAAAGGCTCATTGCTTGAGTTTGCTCTCTGAGGCACCTGCTGGCCCAGGCCATAGCAGGATTTGAGATACACGTGTGCCACTGTATGTGTGACCTGAGAGAAGCCTGTTTTGGGGAAAGGAATGTGTGGGAAGAAATCTCAGGGTTTATCTCATGTTCTGCCTCTTTCTGCTTCCCTAGTTGTGTATGAGCACAGATCCAGGCTAGAGCGATCCCTGCAGAAGGAGAGAGGGGAACACAAGAAGACAAAGGAAGGTGAGTCTCTCATATGGGTAGCATACCAGTGGCTAGCAAGTCCCCCAGCTGTCCTGTGGGAAGATCTATGTGTGGCACCCAGAGTGCTGTCTGCCTTCAGAGCACTGTGTGGACCTTATTGAATCCTATCCAAGTGAGACTCATCCCTGCTTTGTAAGCAGAGAACAGTTAACTGACTTGTCCATTTCCCATGGGCAGAAGGTACTGAGAGGGGCATTGTATTCTCTCCTAAAGCCACGAATCCTCAGCTTAATCTGTGAATAATAGCACCTATGATATGGCATTTGAACACTTTAAAACTGATTAGCTATATCTGGCACTAGACTGGGTTTTCTTCCTGGAAATATATAAACTTTGTCACAAGGTGAAATAACTTGCTCAGTTTGACAAAAATAAATACTGTGATTGGCATCAGTATTTATAAAGTGATCTTAAGATGCTGAGTTCTACAAGTGCATATTAAAAATATTAGGATCATTACATTATACGTGGACACTATAGACTGCAGATCCTTTAAAGTTGAATTCCAAGGGTAAATATATAGGCAGGATATTTTAAGACCGTGGAAGTCAATAGAATAAGTCATGTATCTTTCAGTGAAGTAGTGTGCTTGGATTGTCAAGCCCCTTTGTACCTGACTGTTGCTGGCAACTTAACAGCTTGGTTTTTATCTTCAAAGCTGATAAAATGGAGTAACATCGCTGCTCCTTACTCCTACACAAACTTCATTTCTGGAAATGCTGTAATACAGCATCCAGGTTTGGCTCTTAGCGTGTGGTTAAATAGTTGAGGGAGAAGCTGAATTTCAATCTGTCATGTGTTTTGGTGAGGGTCGAATGAGAAAATGAAATGACTGATAAACGGCTTCTTGTCATGGGGCATGAAGCCTGATGGCCATAGTTCTGTGCACATCTTGGATTTCAAAACAACATGGGGCTTTGCTCCATGGCCTGACTCAAGAGATTGCTTATTCAAAGTCAGTGGAGAATTTGATGCTCATGGATAAAAGACAAGCAGCACTAGCCTCAGTGGCACGCTTTTCTCTCCTGACTATTTGTTTTGTCCTTGTGTGGCCAGCTTCCTGAGAAGCAAAACAAGTGTCAAATCATGTAATGCTTTTGTCATTGTGCTCTGGCCAGCTGATGTGATTATTCCTCTGGCCTGTCTCGAAAACCAGAATTTGAAGGGCCCATTGGATTTAAACCTTTGGAACTTCCAGTGCCATCTCTTATTAGAGAGTATCATCTACAATTTGTTCTTTATAATGTTTGGATCCTAAAAGCTTTTGTTAATGTTCAGAACCTCTTCTATATTGGGTGCCATACAAATGCAGCACAAAAGGGCAGTCCTTGTCTCCAAAAGACTTTGTCCAGTTCCCACACCTCACAGATAGAAGCTGAGTAGCTCTGGGATCTCTGCATGTGGAGCATGTGATCATAACAGCCTGGGTTAGACTGACTTGCGAAGCAGCTCATGCAGGATCAGTGAGCTTGGTGGCCAGAGCAGAACTGGACTTCCACCCCAGTGTTCTAACCTTGCGGCACCCTGTCTCCAGCAGTAACAACGTGAGCAGGCTTACTGGTAGTTCAGCGAGCTTTCTAGCCAGCAGTCCGTTCACTGGGATCTCTGTGCGCTATTTCTATGGGAGAGCAAACGATGACTAAGGAAAGTGGAGCTTGTTTGTGGGCTTAAATTCAGTAGGGGATATTAACATCTTTTCTGTGGAATTTCTTGGTGGGGCTGGAAGAGGGCTGAGTATGGAAACCCTAGCCCTAGTCACTGTCACAGTGGGGAGGTGCAAGCCAAGATGTTTTGCTGCACTCCAGGGACTTGGTCCTGTAACTGTTGCTTACTAGGAACTGGCTCTGAATGTTTCTGCAGCCTTGGTGACTAAGCTGTGGTATTTCACCAGCTGCTTTCTTCAACTGCGTCTCCTCACATTAAACTCTCTTCTGAGCACACACCTTGCTTAATTCCCTGTTCAGCTGTGCCTTTGCTAGCAAATAATGCCCTTTAAAAGGGATCTAGGTATCACTGGAGCAGGAATCTGTGAGCCCCAAAGGCTTCCATGGCATGCTTTGTGGGAAAGGCCTTACATGAATGCTTGATTCATCAAACCCATTCAACATTAAATGTTTATATTCTGTATCTCAGTTCCAGTTTCGATAGCAGATAGTAATAATGTGTTCAGAACTGCTCTGTAACAAGCCAGAGAGGAATTTCCAAACCTTCCCATTTTACGAAGAAAGCGCAGATGAGATCAGCAGATTATAAAGCTTCTGTGAGACCAGAAGGAGATTGTGATTCCTTTTTTCCAGAATCATCTCTCATTCCAGAGCTTCAGCAATATCTAGGCTGAAGTGGGAAATCACCAATGCACTTGACTATAGAATGGGAAAAGAAGGACATTTGGGCTAGGCTAAGTGGGTGGACAGATCTCATGGAAAGTACTACCATATTTTTGATGGCACTGGGTAGGAATCTCATGGCAGCATCTGCATGCCAGCTTGCTGATCTGCAACTTTTTACGCAGCAAGGGGCTGTTTCTTTTTTTTTCCTTCTGAAAATATAAAACAGATCCTTGTAAATTCCAGCTCATTACATTGTCTCCTCTTCTTCCATTTCTAGATTTTTTAGTGTATAAATTAGAAGCTCAGGAAGCTCTCAACAAGGAGAAGGTGGGTACAGTCTATCCTTCAGAGTGTGTGTGTTTGTGTGCGTACAAGAATGGGAAAGGTCTCTTCAGTACTACTACAGTGATAAGGCCAGTTCTGCTATCTGGCAGGTATGAAAGACAATGAGAGTGTCTGATGCAAGATGACCTTTGGCTGGCCCCACCTTGCAGGGCTGTTGATGTGTGGGGATCTACTTCAGCTTAGGGAAGACTGTATCATGCTAGAGCTATCTTGCCTGTTTTTCCATATGCAATAGCAGAGTAGATGACTTGATTGCCAGCTCCTGGGGTATCAGGGAGTCCTGTGCTGCCGTCAGTGAGAAGGGAATTTCTGTTTCATGCTGGAAGAGTCCTGTGGAAGCCAAACACAAGGCACACTGCAGGGAACATGGAGAAGAAAGGGTTTTGTGTTGTTGGGGAAAACCTATCCATTGTTATGTGTCTCCAGGGATGGGCAAATTATTTCTCCTGGCCTATGAATGGCAAAATTGAAATGGGGTGCATGCAGGAGATGCAGTATGAATCCTCTACTCAGTGCTGCCCTGATCCAGGGCTGGGTGACATGTCCTTACTGGGATGAATGTTCACTGGCCGGCTGATGGCTATGCAAAGCTTTGTGCATCAGGCAAAATGATGGTATTCCCCAGGCCTTGTGTCTTGAGAAATTGACTTGTTTGGCTTGACTCTGCTGGGTTCAAACAAGATGGAGACTGATGGTGTAACTGATCTGCCCTGGAGAGGGAATTTCTTGCAGTAGAGAAAGGGGCAGGAGTGGAGAAGCCTTGTGTTTGAGGCAATATGGGACTCCCCCATCAACACCTTCAGTGTTTCCCAATTGACCCTGAAATGGAGTCAGGTGACCAGCATGTGATACTTTGTGAACTGCAGCAGTGAAATGAGTGCTCTTGAATTCAGACACAGTAGAATTGCCAGAGGTCTTGGGAACCTTGGTTGTCTAAGTACTTACATCTAATTCCACAGAATTAGTGTTTTTTTGTCCTCGTTTATGCAGCTGAAATAGTGTATGATCTGACCCTGACCCAAGGGCCAAGCTCCATCGCTACTCTTTTGTGGGATGTAAAAAGCCTGTGAAACAAATGTTCTGCCTCATTACGTGGCCTTACTGAAGGTTGTCCTGTGCAACCCAGCAGCACAGAGGGTAGAAAAATGTTTTTGGTTAAACAAAGTATTGATGCTGATGGAGACGTTAGTGAGGATTGGGAGGGGAGGAAGGAAATGGGGGATGATACAGATCTGAACAGGAATAGTATCAACAAATACACTAGTGGGTAGAAAATAACAAGGCTTATGATTTCTTATTCAGCAAGGCAAAGAAGGACTCATCAATGTGGGTTAGGAAGAAATGCATCCCTGGATTACAGTCTGTCCCATTCACTTGATGTTATAAGGCTGGTTTTATCGCTTTCTTGGAGCGTCTGTTGATGAGATGCTGGAGGAGGCGGACTGCTTTTAGCCTGTTCATCTGTGACTGCTGAAAGTCATCCCATTACAGAAAAAAACTCATGGATGAATATCTGAATATTCTAATGGTTAGGCAGCTCCCTTGCAATTTATGCTCATTTGCTGGTAATACTTCATATCCTGTTGAGTATTTATCATATAAGTCAAATTGTGGGTTATACTGGAAATAGCTCTGCGTAGTGTTTAACTTGGAGTTCCCTGCCTACTGTCTCGGCCATGCTGATTTAAACTGCTCATATATAGATCCCAGCAAAGGTGCTTGTAAAGGTGCATGTAATAGGAAGGGCTGCAGCATGTTCTCTCTCCAGTACTGTGGGGACCCAGCCCTTTGAGTACAGGTAGTTGGTGGATTTAATGTCTGGTATTTTGAGGTGCTGGTGCTATAGCGAGGAATTGTGCCCTGGGGATAAAAGGAAAAAACATGACCCTTGGGGAGACACGAGCAGATCTGTTAAACTGGTGCAGACCACCTTTGTGGACACATGCAAATCCCTTTGTGCTGTTTGTTTGTCAGTTTAGCTCAGTTTGAAAGCTGTGCCTAGTTATAGGAGTTTTCTTTAGATTTACTCAATTACTTAGAGATCAGTTTTGTTTTCTTTTTTTTTCCTTTTTCCTTGTTAAATGGTGCAATTTGTGTGTAGATGAAGTGTTAGCTCTAGTGCTGTCTGATGCCCCGCTCAGCTGCAGCAAAGATTGCTCAGCCTGGCTTGGGGTGGGTTTTGCTTCAGAAAGCTCTTTCGCTACTGGGCCCATCCTAGGTGAAGAACCAGAGACTGGGGTAAACTACTCTGAATGCCAATCAAAAGAGCAAAACCTCTCACTGTTTGCAGTTCAGCTCCCATATTTGAAGTTGATGGTAACTGTACTTAAGCTGGTTTAATTCCCCTCTCTGGAGTTCAGGTTTACACCAGTGGGGCTGACATGACAATCAGGCTTCTTATTTTTCTTTAAATCAGTAAAAAGTGATTAAAGAAATCACTTTCTCCTCTGAAACTCCTCCTTGCTGTATTTTGGGTTCAGAGCTCAGAAATGGAGGAGGAGCATGACTTGTGCCTGCAATTAATTAGCTGGTAGCCGGGTTGTTTTGAAAGGGTTCTATCCCAGCAGTGCTTTGGCTGTATGTTATGCTGGTGATCTCTATATGCCAGTTCTCAGTCAGGATGCGTGTGTGTGCGCGTGGGAATTTACTGTTTGTGCAGTGGCTGGGCACGCACTTATCTATGTCTCATCTGCCTTGGGGTCTCCTGGGATCTAATGGCACTCTGATCTTTTTTTCCAGCAAGATTCTATGAACAGATATGGGGCCCTCAGTTCCCAGCACAAGATACTGAAGGTAAGGGAAGAGTCTAGTTCTGGGTAACCATCATCTGTGCACGCAAGAACACGCACCGGAAGGAAAAGTCAATGCTTTCACTTACCAAGAATGCCTAGGAGAGACCAAAGGGTTTCGGGCCAGCCCAGAAGGAGGAGACTGCACAGTGGCATAGACCTACATTCCTTTCTGACCATTCAGATTCATGGGAGTTTCCTCATGTTCTGCTGGGCTTTGTATCAGGCTACAGCCTTCATCTCTACCTCATTTCAGTGGTGGTCTTTGTGCACACAGGAATTCTATTGTTCAGCATGTTCTTTTCTGTGTCACTTAACATGAAAATGCGCTTATTCACTGTAGCTTGCCCTGTTGGACTAATAGAATATATTTCAGTCCATGTATGTGGATCAGGTAAGGGTGGCTTATAGTATCTTATGGCTTATAGCATACTCTACCTGAAGTACATCTTAATGTTAGAGTTTGGTTTTGTTAGAGTGATGCAAATATGGCTTTATATTTTTTAATGCTGTCTTTACTTAGAGCATTCTCAGTGAAATGATAACTTAATTCTGGGATGCAGAAAGAGGGCTAGGTTCCAGCAACCCTCACCACCACTGAGTTATATTTCCTGAGCAGAGTAGGACTTCCAGCTTCCTGACTTCTGGATTTAAACTTCAGGAACAGGGAACTGCAGAACTCCCTCTTGGATCTTATCCAGCGTCAAGGATGCTGGGATCATTTTGTAATGGTAACATTCTGTAGCAACTGCATTTTGAGCAAAGTCCTGTGCTTCAGTTTGCTTGTCTCAAGGGGACAGTGTTTCAGGGTATTTCATCCTGACTCCCTTTCTCTTGTTTACTTTTATTGGAAGGAATTTTCCTCCCCCCTCCTCCCCTTTTTTTAGTATACTTACAGCTGCTGAAAGACAGGTCCTTGAGACTGAAGTGCTATAGATTACCCCTACAGAAAATTCAGTATTCAGTGTAACTTCTAGTTGGTTATGAAGCTGTAAACAACTGGAGCAGAGGTGAAAAATGCTTCCCACTTGTACTAGGTTCCTCGTAGTGAAGATTGCTACTAGTAACATCATCGCTTAGGAAGTAGAAATGGGAGATGGATGTATAATGCTGAACAGCAGTAATTAACCTGTTTTCCTGGAGGTCCCAATGTGACCAAAGACTTCCATGAAGCCACATCAGTATGTCTGCTTTTGGTCTCTTAGTGGCCATTGATGCTGCACTTGGATACTGTAGCCTTTGTGTTTTGACCGCACAGGACAGCTCTGTCGCCCACAGTTGGCTTTCTCTGTTAGACCCATTTTCTTCCACTCGGTACCCTTCTCTGTTCTGTTTTACTGCATGCTGTTAGGGAGAGACTGCTCTGGAGGATATTACTACTTAGAGAAGGCTTCATTTTGGTGACTGTTTGGGGCCCAGTGAGTTCGTTCTGTATGCCTGCTGATTTCAGAGACTTAAGATCCTGAGCATGTGGGAACATTTCCATCTTGGCATCTTTACATATGAGTTCACGCAGTCCCTTGGGAAGTGCGGTGCCTGAGCTTTCAGCATCCCACTGCTCAGGCAGACAGGGAGGCATACTGAGCAGACTGAGATGTGCCAGTGTGTGTGAAGTATTTGAGCAGGAAGCACAGTTACCTGCAAATGGGGTCTGGCATGTTAAGGGCTCTGCAGGGAGCCTGTGTTAGGGAGAGTTCTGCTCAGTGTGAGGTGGAGAAGGAGAAAGAGCTCTGTGTTATGGACTGAGCTTTGTGGCAATAAACTGAAGAAATTCCTATGTTTGAGGTAATAAAAGTGGAGTGTCTGTATCTCTCTCTCTCTCTCTCTCTCTATATATATATATATAAATAGATATACAAGTATATGTATATATAGAACACTAAATTGGAGGGGAAAAGGATTAAAAACTGGCCAGGAAAAAATAGTTCCTTCATGAAAGTCAGTTTGAATTTGAAAGGGGCTGGTAGCAAGCCTTGAATGGCATTTTCAGTCTGCCAGGCTGGCATATTTCTCCTCAGATTCCATTGCCTACTGCCTTTGCATTTGGACAGGAGATGAGTTTCTGCCCTTCTTGTATGAACTAGAAACAATGTTCCTTATGCTCTGCAAAGCAGAACATGAATCTGATTCATTTTTACATCAGTGAAACCTCCCATACCTTCTGGGAAGGAGGCAAGATCCCTGTTTTACAATGGGGAAACTGAGGCATAGTGCAGCTAAATGCCTTTAGTGCACAAAGCAGTGGGGATGCTTGGGTTAGCCCTCCTGACAGTCAAACCACTGACTGTCTCACCACTCTGCTGGCCCCAATGTGTTGGTTGTGCTCTTTGGGATCTGTGCACTAAGGAGCACAGGAGCTTTTGTGAGGCCCTTACCTTCCTTATGCCCAGGGCACTTCCAGTTCTCTGATGGCTCTGTTAACCATGTGGGCTCTCCTGATGCACCAGGCCACACAGGAGGGCTTTCTCAATTTCATTGTGACTTTTCCTAGCTTCTTAGAGGAAAAGGATCTCACTTGACTTACAAGCTGTCATTCTGATCTGTATTGAAGCCATATCTGTCTTATTAACGTTTGAAATAAGCAAGCCAATCTCAAAGGAGCAAGGGGCCTGTTCAAAAATAGCAGCTGCCTGTGTCTGCATTCTTGCTGTGGCCAGACTTTACCTTCTTATGATTCCTTTCATCTTGATTGGAGATTGGAAATTTTTTTTATTAACATCTTCCTGCAGAATCCAGTCTAGCAGTCACTGGATATTGCAGGCAAGGAGGCAGCTTTAAATGAAAGATTTTTAGGAAGTCCTTGTCAACAAATTGCCGGAATCTGAAAACTTGCAATGAGGTGTATACCCTCCCTTTGCTCATGGGCTGAGCATCCAGTTACTGATTCCATTCTGTAAAATGCTATCTACAGAGCTGCTCCCTAAACCATGGCAGAACTAGGTGTTTTTGAAGGACACGGACACTTATGCGAGTTAAAGACGCTGCATAATTAATTCATTTTAGGCACTGCATGTTGTCTGAACAGCAAAGTGAAGGTAGAGTGGAAGGACTTCCTGATCTGAATCCATGCAGCTGTGGTGAGTGATTCCCAGTGTCTCTAGGATTAGCTGACTTCCTGAATGATGTGATATCACGGCATTGTAGAGTGCTGGGCATGATGTGTAGGGAGCCACAGAGCAAAATGTCATGAGAGCATGTTCTCTCTGTCTTCCCTCAACCCCCTTTTGCATGTATATGTGATTTCTACAACATTCATTTCTGAGCCTCTCGCTGTCTCTGCTTGACTGAGCAAAACAGTATCTCTTTGAGGCAGGGAAGGGAACCGAGTCACATAAACTGACACTACATTCAGATATGTGCTTCTAGATATAGAGAAGAGGTTCCTGGCTTCCTCAGAGCTATCAGTGTACCTTGCTTTGATAGAAATGACTGGGTTGAGAATGCTCTACTTGCAGATAAGCTGCTCCTCCAAAAAGGAATTGCATGTAGTGTGTCCCAGGTCTCCTGTCCTACAATTACAATAAAACTCAGCATCTCTAGATTCATTCTAATATTCGTGTATGTCAGTCGCAGCTATTTTTAGTAACTGGCTGGGAGTGAAGGTGCTCCGTGTGCTTAATGAGCTGAACTGAGCCTCAGATGCTTTGTGTGACCTTGGTCAAGACACTTATCTCTCTATATGGCTTCCTGCTATACTGAAAGGATGACTATTCCCTCCCTCCTTTCTGGCTGTGAGTGCTCTGGGCATAGATGTTAAGCACATCACTTGCCAGACAGGATACAGGCTACAAAGTAATTGAGCTGATGAGGACTTAATATTCCTTAGATTTGCTTAGAGTTTCTTTTTAAAATCAATTCTTATTTGCTAATGTTGGTGACTTCTCTGAAGTGTTTGGTCTCAAAATGATATTTAAGGATGTGGTTCCTCTGCAGTACTTCTGCCTGCAGTTCTGGGGGGAGCTGTAAGTACCTAATATATATGAAAGCCATAGCAGAAATCTGTTGTAATCTTTATTTTTTCATCTGATCTTGTGATCTGATTAACCTGACAGCCTTGTCTCTCCTCTTTGTTCTTTCTCTGAGACCCCTCCACAATGAAAGCTTTTTCCTCTGCGTGGTATGTATTTTTGGAGCACAGTGATTTTTCTTTCCTCCTTTGAGCTGAGGATAATTGCTCTGGGGGGAGAATGCCTGGGCCACAGATGCTTTGTTCTACTGGGGACAAATGCAAGCATCAGTAGCAGTTAAAGGTTTAAAAAAAAAAATAAAAAAGGTTTGCCATACAGGAGGGCCAATTGAAGTTGCTGCCTGTGTCATAAGGAGCTACTGCGGAAGGGCAAGGGTTCACCTGTGAGCCAATCAATCTGCAAACATAATTGGTGTTGACAAACTGAATGTGGAAGGACTCTGTGGGTTACCATGGGAACCCACAAGGAGGTGAATTCTGGTTCAGTGGGTTTGAGTAAAAAGATGTCTCAGCATGTTTTGCTCTCAGGCAGTATGAGAGGGGAGAGGAGAGAAGAGAATTGAAGAACTGTTATCAGATGACTTCACAAAACTGTCCTGAATTCTGGCCTGCTTGAAATAGCCTGTGGTCTTGTGGGGGTCCTCTTACCTTGGCACTTTCTGCCTGTTCACTCCCATGTTAATCCAAGAAATATGGGCTCACTCTGTGCTCGTTAGGTGAGGAGACGTGGTATCCTTGCAAAGGGGCTCCTGTTTTAGCAGCTTGGAGTGGTGGGTAGAAGAACAGCCAGGCTGTAAAGAGGCAAACCAACCAGAGAAAAACTGAATTTTCTAGGCATTCTTGTGTCCTCAGTAGCTAGCAATGTCTGCAGACAGAAAGGTAACAGGGATTAGACTTTAGGCCTGCTTAAAGGTGAAGTGCCTCTGTAATGCAGTGTATGGGTTGATGCTACATGCGCCATGGAAACATTTATGCTTGCAGGTAATGTTGCTCTTCAGCATGTCTGGGACTCTGGAGAGGATCTTGGATTATGCAGTGTTTCACAGGCATTTGGCTTGATATTATCAAAGTTTGTAGCCTGTATTTCTCTCTCACTGAGCTGGGTGTAGGAGGGTAGTTGGGAGGGAGTAGGAAGAGTTCTTGGCTGTGTCGCAGAGTCTCCATCTCAAGGCAAAGACCTTGTTAACTGGCATTTCATATCTCTCCTGAACTATCTGATCACGAAGAACACTTTCTTGGTACCTGGAAATTTTTGTTACCTCATTAGAGGAATCAACATCATCTCTGCATCCCCAAGCAACTCATTAGGCGGAGTCATTTTAGTAGCTCTTGAAAATACTTTAATTGCTCCTCCCCTCCTTACTTGTACTGACTCTTGGTCACTTCTTTTTTCTGGTTCAGAACCAGCATGAAGATGTCAAGAAGCAGCTGCTTGACCTGCAGCTACAGCACAACACCTTGAAATTGGAACATCGTAAGACACTGGAGATCCACAGCCAGAAATATGCCCAGCTGCAGCAGGAGAAGGATAGTGAAGTCACAAACTTGCAGGGTGAGTACGATAGAGAGCTGTGAAAACACTAGGCAGAAAAGGGGCTGAGAACTGAGCTCAGGAGAGGAGAGCGTTCTCCAGGCCTTCTGAAGATCTACAAACACTATGGGAACACTCCTGTGTGACCCTGGGTGTTGTTCCTTAGCCCTTCCGCACCTCAGTTGGAGCATTGTGCTATTGCAGAGTGATAGCGTAGGAGGAAGGGTGTTTAAAATTGGCCAAGTGTCCTGAGCTTGCAATGAGAGGAGCTGAGAAATGCAGAGCAGGCTATCAAGCAGCTTCCCAGTGCAAGGGGAGCCATTGGGGTTTTCAGGTGGTGGGTTTGTGGTGGAATTTCAGAACACTATGAAAGCAGCCAGCTGGTTTGACTGGCAAATCTATTCTTAGCCTGCAGTTTCCTGGGGCTGACAATGCACTGTCAGGATCTGGTTACAGAGGGATGCAGCATCCTTTATCACAGACCCAGGGGGCTTGAGTTCGTGTCCTTGGGTTTAACTGAACTTTTAGTTCTCTGGGGTTCAGAGACTGCTATGCTGCATGGAACACCCTTAGCCTCTGTCAACACCAACACCTTTCATGGTGTTATTTTAAAAGCCTCGTTGACTTTTGCTGGCTGCTTGCTCTTACTGCAGCCACTACTTGTTTTATTGTGCAGAATTTTCAGTGCTAGGTAAGTTTAGAACTTGTGCCAGGTGTTGAGCATGTTCTGACTATGAAACAGTCCATCTCTCAAGGAGGTAACACTTAGACAAGATGATCCAAAAGCAGGAGGAGAGAGGTTAAAGCACAGAGGCATACCTGTAGTCTCACAGCAGGATGGAGCAGAAACAGCAGTTCTACCCATCAGATGATACTGTCTTACCCTATACTTTCTCTGGTGGGAGAGTGCAGCCAAGTTAGCCAGAGATGCTCTTTGTGGCACAGATAAAACATTGCAACACTGAGATTCCATCTATTTCAGTATATATTTCCCGCTTATCTGTACTTTTTTTTTCTTAAATAAACAATTCTATTTCTGAAATACTAGAATCCTGTAAATTCTAACATTTAAGTTTGGAAGCAAGTTAAACATACTTTCTGTATGTGGTAAAGGTCTATAAAATGCATTTAATAGTGTAAGAATTGCAGAAAATGCTGATCCTTTTAATTCCCAAAGAGCAGTTTATATTTAGTCTGCTGCTTAATTGGGTCCTGGGGTTTTTGAGGTTCACATCTGCCCTTAACTTAGATTAGGTGTGGGAGAGTGAGAGCCACTAACTTTTCTTTCCCTGCCCCCTCTCTCTGAAGGATCAGCCTTAAGCTTATAATATCTGTTGGGCTGGAAAGGGGAACTCGAGCACAGGCAAGTGAAACGGGCTACCTAAGTATTTAATTTTCTCTCTCTTCTTGAAATATGCAGCTCCTCTCTCTCCACTCCCTCCCCCCCCCCCCCCCAAAAAAAAAAGGGCAAGAAAATGAATTCTGCCACAGAGAAAGGAGAATAAAGATTAGCAAAACAATCTGAAGAGAGAAGGCTAGTCAGGAAGATTAACTTAAGGGTGAGATATTCTTTGTCTGCCTTCCCAGGCTGCTGTTCACTTGGTCCCAGTTCTCTTCTGTGCTTTAAGCACAAAGCTGGCTAGTAAGTCTTCCCTTAGGAGAGGGTATTGGGAACCATGGTGTGTGGAAAAAGCAAGGCAGTCTTACAAGAGGTGACAAAAGTGGAGAACTAGCAGCACTGCTAAGGTCTAATTTTCTTTCCTTATGTTCCACTGGTACTTCTGTGTATAGTGTGTCCTCAAGCAAGGTGTGGTGGAAGGCATGCCTCTCTCAGTGAATAAAATAGGAGAGAACAAGAGAGGCATCTGAGCAGTGAGCATTGCTCTGAGCTGTTAAAGTGGAACTGCAGGATTTTTGCCAGATTCAGTTGCAAAAATGAAAACCTCACTCCAGGGGTGCTGGGAGAAAACAGAAGTCCTATGGAAAGTATGCAGGACTGCTCTCAAGGGTGGAGCTTGGTTTGTTAGCTCCTCTTGGTGACTCTAGTTTCTTTAAGGTAGCTCTCCAGGCTGATGATGGAGCTATCCAGATGCATGCGACACTGGGATTTGGTGTATTGCAGCTGCTACTCTATCATGTGACCCAGTGGTTGTGGTGCTATTGCAATAGCTGTGCTGTGTCCCTGAAAATCCTAGCCCCTGGAAGCAGTTCTTGATTAGTGGATAATAGAGTGTGAGCGTATGCTATTCAGATAGCTGAAGCTTCCCAGTCCTGTTAACTGGGACCTGTTTGTCACTCCCCTGTGCCCCAGACCCTCTCCTGCTGCATTATGATTTCTGTGTATTTTCTTCCTAGTTTTATAGGACTTCTATTTATAGGACATCTATTTATGCCCTATATCACACCCCTAGCACAGCTTGTCCTCTGCTGTGCTCCCCTACTCTAATCCTGCACTTTCTGTTTTTTTCTCATTGTTTATTGGCACAGTCAGCTCTGAAGGCAGAGAGGTAGCTTGGATCATTGTTGAACTTGTATTAGAACAAACACCCTGCATTTAGAGTGGAAAACTTGGTCCCATTGACACCAGTGGTAAGACTCCTTCTGATGTTGTTGGGACCAAGATTTCAGACCCCTGCCACAGTTATGGTAGAGGAAGGACAGTGGCATGAAGGCTTTGATTTCTACTTTCTGAATGTGCTTTGAGGACATAGAGATTTCTGAGGTATTGGCTCAGTGAAACTCCAGCCTTCCTTCAGACATCTCTCCCATGTTCAGGATGCCTTTGCTTCTGTTGTAGGTCTGTGGGAAGGTCTGCATTGTAGTCAGGGGTCTTTGCAATACTGCTCTTGTGCTAGCTGTCATTTAGCCTGGACTAGCTGCCTGAAAAATATATCCCTTGTCCACTGCTCCAGGCCAACAGTGACAGCTGAAGCATGTGCTTTCCCCACTGTGTGTACCCAAGTTAACTCAGTTAAAGCTATTTTAACTGTAGTCCTGCAGGTTGTAATCCCAACTTCTGGCTGCAGGGAAGACAGAGCTGCCTTTCTTTCCACATAGCTTTCCAGAGCTTGCTTCTTCCCATGTTAACCTTCTTCCCATGTTAACCATCTTCACTGCCAGAGAAGATTATAGCATCAAATCACAAACTGCCCTGTCCTGGGGAGGAATCTTATAAAAAGATGCACCACTGTAATTAGAAATACATATAATCTTGAGCTGAAATTTAACATGCAATTTGGGCTAGAGCAAAGTGACTGTCTTGTGATGGAAAAATACTCCTTATCATGGTGGACACAGCTATGTCTGGAGAGAAATCTCAGTGCATACAGTACAGTTCTAATGATGTTTTAAGAGAGCGCCAGGCAGATCATCCAAAATAAGGATGACATCTTTTGACAGTCTTCCTCTTTCCTGGAGGATACAGAATTATATTCAAGGCAATGAAATGTAAGTTCATTTTGTATCTTACATACTCCATAGCACTTGAATGGCAAAGAGCTTGGAAGGACCCCAACCTGGGAGCTTCTGGGCACAAGCTTGCTACTAAACAGGGTGGGTATAAATGTCCTCGAGGAGCAGGTTGTGCTGTGATTGCCTTCTGCAGGCTTTTTTGTAGATTCCTTTCAAGAGGCAGCTTCTCTATGCAGTTGGATTCACCTCCTTAGTGAATCTGCTGTGGATTGCATGAGAGCTGGCAGAGCTCTTTCACAGTTGTTCCTTAACCTTCCAGCTTCCAGGAATGAGGGCTCTGACCACTGCCTATTGCTGTCTTTCTGTTCAGCTGCAATGGATGAGGGAAATGGAGAAGGAACAAATATCCTGAAATAAGTATCTTCAGTGATAGCAAGCACAAGAGCCTGATCCTGATAGCAATAGTTAGTGGAGGCACTCCAGAGAGGAGGAAGTTTCTCGGATGGCCAGAAGTCCTGAATGCTGAAGGGGATGGTGACTAAGGTTTGTACTGTGTTTGGTTTGGCTAGTCCCTAGCTATTGCTTTGTGATAGTTCCTGGACTTAGTCCTAAGAGGTCCAGAGGAATTTATGGTAAGGAAGAGAGATGCTGTGCTTGCAAAAATAGCTCTTTCAGTGCAAATTCTCTTTCTTTTCTTGCAGATACAGTCTTCAAACTCAGAGAAGAGAGCAAGCTTCTTCGGAAGGCACACCAGGAAGTTCACTCTCAACTCCTTAACTCCCAGGTAACTGACAAGGGTGTGTCCCACATGACAAATGGGGCAATCTTTCATTGGGGATGGGATGCACCCTCCAATTTCCAGATGTAAATAATAAATTTAGGATGTGTAGCTTAAAACAGTGCTGGTATGAGCAATATAGATGCTTTCTGGACCAGTAAAATTTTCCAGCTTGGAGTTTGGCCCAGTGGCTGAAAATACAGATGTGCTATGAGAGCCACTTTGGTTCAAGTGGGAACAAACTAGCTTCTTCCCAAGCCTGGAATTCTTCCTGTCACTTACCCGCATCATTTTTCTATTCCATCCTAAATAATGGTGAGTTGTCTCTACTCATGGCTATAAAATTAAGTGCAGAGAGAAATAGCAATGCAGAGGTGTCCTGTCTAGTTTGCTGGGAATACAAATGGACACTCAGCAACCTTGAGGAAAAAGGTTCCCTTCCGTGTTTCCTTGCGAAATCCTAGTAGGGAGGGAGACTTTAAAAGGATTCTGGAAGAGCTACATAAACAAGATGCCCTTGTTCAGTAATGAAAGTGTTGCAGTGAGGCTCTGAATCTAGAGACCAGGGGCAAAGATGCAAGCAATGTGAGCTTAAGATTAGAGAGGCAGAAAAGTATTAACCTTTCTTGGCATGGTGTTGTGCTCATGCTCTAGAGACAAGTGTGAGGCTCTGTTCAGCACATGCAGAAGTCCTGATCTCATCAAGTTCTGCTAACCCAAATGAAGTTGGGAGCTAGCAGATGACTAGCGAGGAGAAAGAGCAGGGTGCTGGGAGAAGTGGAAGGGAGGGATTAATGTTTCCACAGTGTCTGTCTGAGGCTCTTGTGCTCAGTCAAGACACAAGCAGCTTTGTAAGTCTATTTTGTTAAGTCACATCACTATCTGGGTTAGCCTTTTCTGTTATTAATAAACAGCTTTCTGCCAAGCCCTCTCCTAGGTTATAGAATATGCTCAGAAGCAAGGAGTTGGTTGGGGTTAAATGCTGTTGAAAACTAATTCTTCCCCTTTGAAAACAAATTCTTCTTCTGGATACTGAACTCGAACTGGATGTGGGGAGGGTGGTTGTTTTTGCCCTCTGCAGGGTTGCTCTTGTGTTCTGGCCTGACTTGCTCTGCAAAGAAGTGGGTAGTAAGTAGCTCTAGGGCACTGCAAACTTCACAGTCAATTGGTCACTTCAGGCAGGAAGCCTGACTTACTGGCATCACAGGGCACTTGTCGTTTGAAAGCTTTTTGGCTCATGTCAGGCGTAGTTTGAGGAGTCCCAGATGGACTGTCAGCATATTTGACTTCCCTGCCTTCTTAATCTTGACCTGCCATTTAACTGCTTTTCTACCCTCCTCCTTCATGAGGCTTAGGCAGGTTGGCAAGATGCTCTGCACTGATAATGCCTGCAATGTACCTGTTGGCAACTAAACAAAGGCATTAGTCGTCTTAGGGGTCAGTCCAGCAAGCCTCTACTAGGAACTGAAATAGCATGTGATTACAAGCTTCTCCAGTGCCCCTACATTCATAGCTGCTTCTACCAAAATGTAGCGCAGCCTTCACTTTTAGGCCTCCTGACCAAACCTGCAAAGAAGTTGCATGTGTCACTGCTTTTGTGGCTTGTCCCCCAGAAACACTGAGACCTCGTCAGCTCAAGTCATACGTTGACAACTTTGGTCCATATCTGTTGATCTGAAGGTCCTCTGCTTGCCATTGTGTATGCTCTACTTTTGTCTTGCTGGCTCAGTCATGTGTATTTGCATCTAGAACAGCATGTAGGGTCAATCATGAATTACTCTTCAGTGAAGCACCCCTTAAATGCTGTTCCACTAACTGCTGTATTGGGAAAAAGTAATCAGCAGTTCAAGTATGCAAACTTGCATGTTTTGGGCATGGCATTAAAAAGCGCTGCTAAACATGCTGAAGGCTGAAAAGTCAAGTGCTCGTGAATTGGAAAACATGGTGGCAACTTCTTTGATTAACTTTTTCCAATGGTCACAACAATGAAGGGGTCAAAAGTAGTTTGCAAGAAGCAGCTAACAGTAATTTCTTGCCAAAATTAAGAGTGAGCAACAGTAGAAGGACTTGCCCTGTGTATGGGAGACAGGGCTCAACTTCCTGCTCTAAATATACTTCATAATAGACACTCATGCAACAAAGTTGTGCCTCAACCATTTGTCTGTTTGCTATTTCTGGCTCTTGGTTAAGTGGCAGGGGTTGGCCCCAACAATTTCAGAAAATATTTTGGATCTTTTGTTTTCACTCTCTTGCCTGACAGTGAGACTAGTTTAAACCTTAATGCTTTTTTTGTCAGTTTTCTCATAAGTCCTTTCTAGTGTCTAATCAGAATGCTTCATAACACAAGAGTGAATGGAACTGCATTTGCCTTCATTGTGGTCAGGTGCCTTATATTAGAGTAGGCAGCCACCTAGACTTCTTGCTTTTTATCAGCACAGTTCTTCCTAGTAGCTTTGATTTGCCCCATCTGAGGATCCAGCTGCTGATCTTACTTCTAGCAAGTGACTGTTTATAGAAGAGTAATCTGCATTCTAGAGATTGTGTTTTTTATCCAAGGATTGTAACATGTTTCACAAGCCCTAGATAGATTGAGAATGCAATACTTGGTATCTCAATTGGTCTATCAGGTAAAATGAGGCACAGAGGCATCAGGTAATGTATGTGCGGCCTTGTTGTAACAGATGACAATTTGTGCCTGAAGGCTAGTGTAAATCTGCTTTCCCTCTGGGCTTGGCTACCTTTGCAGCTTCTTGATGGGTGCAAGTTTTGCTTTCATCTGGTTTGTTCTGGTTGGAAGCAGTCTCCTACTAGCTATAGCTACATCCCATAAACGGTTCTCTGCTTCTCTTTCCTCATTCCTTTTATTTTATCTTGATTGAAGTCTTTTTGTTTGTTTTAAGGAAAGTGTCAAGGTCAAATTTCAGAAGGAAGAACTAAAATCAACAGTCTGCTCAGGAATTCATTTCGCACTAAATTTTCCTTGCTGCTTGGAAGCTTTCCTGTGCTCTGCCCAGTCACCACTTTGGTCTGTTTCCAGGTGCATTGGCAAGCACGTCGAAAGCTCTCTGCCCCCACTTCCCTGTTAATAACTGGGGGAGCAGTGGGGTGCTTTTCCTGAATAGCTGTTTCAGGCTCTTCTTGTCAGGATTAGATGTGGAGGAAACAAGCTGATAAACTTCAGCAGAGAAAGTGTTACATTTGTCTAACAGACCAGGAGTATTAGTTTGCATTCATCTTGAAGTAAATTGAATTATCAAGTAGAATGAAGCCAACTATTGTGTCAGCTCCTCTGAGATAAACATGTCCATGAAGAAATGGCTCTACAGAAGAAAGCTGACCTGAATGTACACATCTTCGAGCTGTATGCAAGGAGAGGAAGCCTAACCGAACAAGACCCAAGATGCAATTCTTGTGCAAAAGCAGGAGCTATGCCAATGGCTCGTGCTGTAAACAGTGTTGCTCAAAGGACTGTTGTCATGGGTCAGTGTATCCAAGGTAAAAGCATGTGATTAAAATAAGATGCAAGACTGTCAAAGGGGCAATACAGAATATGCATGAAATCTGGAGGGAAAGCTCAAACCTAGCTTGGGCTTGTCATTAATAGCTGTGTATTTTCCCCCTCTCCCTTCTCTTTAGTGGAGTATCCATGTGGAACAACTACTCAAAAAAGAGTCAACAAAGAGTTGTTTAACGCTGCTATTGTGAGATTTCTCTGTGCCCTTCTCATCTCCTCAGGCCCAGTTGGAAGAGTTCAGGCAGTTCAAGGAAGCACTACAGAAGATGCCGAGTTTCAAAGAAGTAGGAGCTGGGAAGGGGCAACAGCAGTTACAGGCACTGAAGGAGCAGCCCCTGGTGCCAGGCAACAGCCAGTTACAGCTTGTGAGGCAGAAGGTGTGGTACTCCCAAGAAACAGGGAGGGGAGTTCTTTGGGGTCTTTGTGGGTTTTCAGCACTGGGCTATGAACCTGAGGGAACTGGATTTGTTCTTTTAGAGTTCACTCTTGTCCTTTCTTCCTTGTAGGCTTTTCCTGTCAATCAGGAGAGTCTCCCTGCTGGGACCCTGTTGGGAGCAAAGGTCTCTGGAATTCGGAGCCAGGCAGATGGGCCTTTGCTGCAAGGCCAGAACTTGCACAGTAATGATGGCCTGAGGCCACAGGATGATGTGCTCCTTACCCATCCAGCCCAACTGCAAGATGCCAATCCACCACCAGATGCTATGCCAGCCTGGCCGCCAAGGCACGGGGATGGCCGTGTGATCCGATTTACCCGGACTGTGAACAGTTTACCTAATGGGAACCCAGTAAGTTTTGCACACTGTGCCTGCAGTATGACTGAGAGCCAGACACCATGGGCTGCATGCTAGAGGGACCCACTGAATGTGTTTCACTCCAGAAGCCTTTATAAAGAACTACTTGTTTATTTTGAAAAAATGAAACCAGTGCACTGGGGACTGGGCTTGTTTTGTGTTAACCTTGCTTATTTCCTGCAGTTTGCCCTGAAATAAGTTCATGTGTTAATAAAGGGCTCTATTTGACCACAAGAATGGGGAGACAAGCTCACTGTCTTGCGAGCTGCTGGGCATCTTGCGAGCAGGTGCTAATGAGGTTGCATTCTCTTACCCTCTTGCTGTAATTATATCCTTGTGGTCCTCAGTCTCCAAACACTGTTCTTTTCCAGCTTCAACACAGAGAACCATGGCATTTCTGTCTCTCTTGATTCCCAGTGTGTTTGTTATTGACTAGTTTTAGCAGCTTTTTGTTTTCAGAGTCTTAAGAGTTTTTTTTTTTTTAAAGTTAAAAACTCTTAAGAGAAAAAAAAATCCCTTGGTAGCTTAGTTTTCCTAAGCCAGAACAGAAGCCAAAGGGAAAGTTTTCTTTTTCCCTCCCTGCACCCTCTTTCTGGCTCAGCATGCCAGAATGATCCTTTGGGAAGTGTTGCATCTCCTTCATTGCTCTCCTTCCCTCCCTGTGAGCATGGATGGTTGGACTCTCCTGTGGCTAAGCAGGACACTGTGCAGCACTTGCTGCTGGCTTCACTGGGTCCATGCAAACTTCCCTCCAGGAGCTGGCTAGTCTTGCAGGGGGAAGCTGGAACCAGCAGTGCCTATAAGTAGGGAATGTCTGCTCCTAGGAGAGCGTGTTCACAGCTAGTATTGCTCCTCTAGTGTTGCTCACTTCTTAGTTTGTTTTTTATTTTTTCCCTACCCCAATATCTATGCTAATAGACCCTGCTTTGGGCATAGAGTAAGTGAATGTTCTGCCTTGTTACTGAAGGAAGACCTGTTAGAGAAATAGTCAGTGCAGGATTCCAGCCTTTGAATGTCCTGACTCCCCCTTTGGAAGCCTGCTTCTTTCTGCTGACTCAAAGAGCCTGCATAGATTAGCCAGCTACCTTAGACCTCTAAATGAGTTACTTTCTTCTGATGAAGAGACCAACTCTTATTGTCTGTGTTTCAGAAGCACTCAGGGCAGGTGAAAAATCTTCCCTGCAGAGATCATAAGCACCTGCAGCTGCCTTCAGCCTCTGACAGATTTATGGATGCTCTTAACTTACAAAAGTTAGTGTTTTTCACAGAGCCAGTGTTGCATTAGGGGTGTGCAACGATGGGCATTAGTAGAGATAAAAATAGCTTAGCCTGAGGTCTCTTTCCTTTCAGAGGATACAAGAGCTATGGCTGGAAATGGATTAGTTTGCCAGAGGCCTTCAGAATAAATTATTTTGTACAAGAGGGCAATTTCCTTGGCACTGTTCCACGTGCTGTGGAAAAACCTCAGATCATCTCCTTGTATTTGTCCTTACCTTTTTTCCCTCTTAGAGCTTTTCAGGTATGTTCTGTGCAGTCCCTGTTCTTGACTCTCAAAACCATGGTCTTTGTAATGATATGCATATGTGCATTCCACTGTCTTGATCTGGAAACTGTCCTTGCCTGTGCACTCTCAGGAGAATTTGTGGTTCAGTGGCTGGACCAAGAAGAATGGGTTCTTGTTCTGGGATCCTGCTGGATTTGCAAAGGTCACGTAACAGCACTTCACTGCCTCCTGTAGTGATTATGAGAATGAGCCAAAGCAAAGCCAATCCCTATGAAAATAACAGTATGATTGCAGTATGGTTAGACTATAATTACAGTAATTATAATAATGGCAATTTTTCTTTTTTTAAGAGTTAACCATACTTTTGTTCTCTGTTTCCTGGAGATTCACCTACCCAGGACAAGGTGAGCCTTGGTCACATAGGATCCAAATTATTTCCTCTTGACTGTATGGAAGAGGAGGTTCTCTCTTATTGCAGGCTGGTCAGACAGGGCTGTGCTTTTCTCTTCTGGAGCACTTCTGAACCTATTTTCACTCTCGAAGGATCTTCTGGCGTATGAGTCTGCCAAACACAAGGGGGATCTGTGAGGAGCTGGTGCGATTAGGGGCTTGTGTATATCCTTAGTGCATGTGTCCTCTCTGCAGGATCCAAAGATGGTGGTTCAAGAGAAAAGCAATGAGGAAAGCCAGGCTCCTGGACTGGGACTATCTGATTTGAAACATCCATCTGCATCAGAAAAGACTCAGATGCCGGACAGCCACCACTTGACAGGGAGCAAGCAGCTGCAAATGCAAAGGTTAGTGATGCAAAACTTCCTTCTGCTCTGTGTTTACGCTCAAAGATACCGTATAGGCTGGTCCACAGTCTCTCTCCACCTGTGTTTAGCATGGCTTCTATGTGGAAGAGGGTTTGAAGAAAGTGCAAATTATTGGTCACATTGTGGTCTATCTCTTGTAACTGAGCACTGCTGCCAGGCCTCTGTCTCAGCCCATGCAGAAGACCAGTCATGCTTGACTGTGTTTGAATGCACACTCTGGTGTGGGTGGTGTGCTGGCAGAACAGGGGAAAGTACAGGAACCTGTGATATTTTATCACTATCTGTAGGCTGCCTTTGAGCAGGAGGTTGTATGTGAATTGCTTGGTAAAGGGACTGTGTGGGGAGGAGAGAGAGGAGTGTGTTCTGAATTCCTCACTAGATGGAGGAGAATGTGGGAGTGGGAGTCTGAACTGATTTCAGGAAATCCCCTCCCTATGTGATTGACTTACAAAATGAAATACCCTGTGTTGTTTAGCACATTGAAGAAATTTTGTGTAATAGAAGCCATCCATCTTCAGCAGCAAGGGTGGCTAAGGAATTCCTTCAGTTCTTCTAATTAAAAGGTATTAAGTTGTGTATTAGAGCTGAGACTTATGTTTTCCACTAATTAATCAGTAATCTGTCAAGCGCTGCAGGAGCAAGCAGAGCTTGAAGATTTGAAGGCCTATCATCCTCAAGTTTCTAGAGTAAACTAGAAGCAGCAAGCAACCAGCACCAATTAGATACTGGACTTTTTTTCTGATTTTGCTGCTAGGGCAAAGGCAAACTCCTAAACTCTGCATTCCCTCCTCTATTTTCTTTCCTACCAGGGAATGGAGCTTCAGCCCATGTCCCCAATGCACTAGTGAGGAGGTGTGGTAGAGATAGGAGGGATCTTCCTTCAAAGAGTCTGCTTGGAACATGAAGTCAGATGTCTGAGGCTAGTGACGAAAACTATGGGTTATATCCAAAGCGGGATAAAACAGTTCACAGCAATGGTTTATGCCAGAAATGAAGACACAGCCAGAATCTATCAGACAGCCCTGGCTTTGACCCTGTCTATGTTTCTGCATAACTGCACTTTAGATGACCTAGCTTATATCAACTTCAGTTTCACCTGCAAAAGCCAATTAAAACCAATTTAACTGCATCAGTACAGGGGTTTGAGCCTTGGTATCCACCTTCCCTGCCTCTTAGGACTGTTGCTCTTATTAAGCAAATACTAGGCACAGCGTGTTCCCCAGACCTGTTCTTGGGATAAACAGGAGAGGAAAGTTCTGGGGAAGGGAGTCACTTGGAAAGGACATGTGTTTGGAGCATGGCGTGATGGTTCCATGCAAATAACTGAATGGATAATTCTTACAGTCTGTTACTTGTATTGCTGTAATACCTGGGAGTCTAGTCAGGGACCAGTGTCCTGTTGTACTGGATGCTGTACAGGCAAAGTTTACTGTCTCAGCAGCATTCACAAAAGACCAGTCTGTTTTGCAAAAGGAAGAAAAGGTCATTCTGAGATTGTAATTCATCAAAGTCTCACCAGAATCCAAAAACTGGCTCTGAAAATAGTGCTTTATTATTTAACTTATTTATCCCCTGTGTGTGTCCAGGTCATATCTGCTCACTGTACTGAGGTAAATGGGATTTAATTCCTGTTTTACCTGCAGTGCAGATTTCTGGATTTCATTACAGATTATCAGCCAGATTCTACTTGTTCTTCTCTACCCTTTTTTCACTTAACCTGTAAACTTATCAGGGCAGAGATTGTGCTTTGCATATCTGGGTACAGGGCCAGGTCGTCCCCATACTACTGTGACAGCTAACCAACTGCATGGGCACAAAAACTAACAACACAGAGGATATTCTGCCTTGTTATAGGGAGGGATTTGTGTGGGTGCAACTGAAGGTGAGGGTTGAAGTTGATAGAAGAACGGCCTTTCCTTGCCTATGTAGAACCTAGAGGGGATATTGTCACTAGTCTTAGAAACAGAAAATGCAAATGTTAGTTTTGTTTGGCACATGATTTCTGCAAGGACGGACAATCCAGCATGGTATTTGTGGTGTGCTCTTCCTTTTCTGGATCTATGATCCAGAAATAGTTGAACAACTAGAGACTGTTATTTACACTTGATAATATTTGTGATAAGGAGTGCATAAACCAACCTTCTCTGGAAGGTGTCAATGCCAAAAACAATATCAAACTGAAGTAGGGTTACGAAAGAGGCCATGCATCCAACACCAACTGTTGCAGTGGGTGGCTGAGACTAGCAGAATCAAGATGAACTCTTGATGGCCAATTTGCTTGTTGATAATTTTTATAATGGGGGAAATCTAAGCTGAAGGCTGGGTTGTGATTTCCTTTTTGAAAGTTTTGTGTGGTGGCAGTATGCAAGCTTCTAAATGGTGATAGACCTAATGGATTTGGCTGCACCTGTCCTTTCATAGCAATTAAACTTAAATGTCTTATGTTTTTAAAACTCAATTGGCTCAAGCATCTACATACAAGATAACAGGCTAGGCTGAACACAAATCCTACCTGGAACTGGCAGTTATTTACTCGAGTTGAAGGTTTTGGGAGATCCTTTCATTATTTTTAATTCTGAGAGTCTCTATTCTTGGGATTTCATCCCTCCCTTTGCCTTGTTTTGTTTTGTTTCTAGAGGTGTCTCTTATGAGACCTCTCCTGCATTATGGGATTTTCATGGTTCACCCAAACTAATTCAAATGTATTCTGTTTCCTTCTTGCCTTCTAACTCATTTTGATGCAGTGAGAACATGTAACACCTCTGAGTGCTCTGCCACTGGGCCTCTGGTTGTCCATGAGAGCTGTGCTATTGCTGCAGGCAAGGAAATGCTGAGGAAAAATGTGTTGCATTTGGCATGCATCTTGATATCAACTCATTGTCCATCTAAGGCACTTGCTCTGTTAAGAGGGAAGCAGAAAGCAGGCATACTAGATATTGATGTAGATAGCAGGAGAAGTGTATTTGAGGTGGAACCATCACAGAGAAGGGAGGAATTCCTGACTATGTGGCTGTCTGAAAGGAGTTGCGTGCCCTCACAGATAGAGCTGTGTGTGTGAATAACTGATTTTCAGCTCGTTAGATGGATCAAGACACTTTTTTTTTTTAAAAAAGAGAGAGAAATGATGAAAAATCAAAACAAGATGCTGGAATGTTTCCTTGCAATTATATCTGTTTTCTCTGCACAAGTGACAGATGTGTGCTATAGAGTAGGCTTATAAATAGATGTTGGTTAAAGTTCCCTTCCCAGCTGCAAATCTTCACAAAGAGTTTATAGTTTTAAAATTTACCAGATAGTGGAAATTCAGTTCCATATTGCAGCTCTTTCCTATTTTATTTTGAAAGGTTTTTTTCTCCTCTTAGACCAAACCACTTCAGTTTTACTTTAGTAGCGTTTTTATTTTTAATGAAAATGGAACGTAGAGGACTTCTGTTTCTTGTTCCGCCCTGACCCCCCCCCCCCCCCCCAAAAAAAAAAAACAATTTAGATTTATGTGTTTGGATATGTGTGAGGCATGAGTAAGTATCAATTTAGAACTGGAATTTATTGCTATGTGGATATACTATCTTAGCACATGAATAAGAGATTAAAGGAGTTCTGGTAATAAATTGCATTTTTAAAACATAGCTTTGTAATTATGTGGCATATTAAATGTTCTGTTTCATGCAGCTGTTGGGGTAACTAATGCAATCTGCTAATTTTGCCAGAAACATTAAATTAGGCCAAACTTCTGCATGCATTGGAATTTTTATTTGCTTGCCATTGTGAAATGCCATTTTGAAATCTCTTTGAAATATACTGAGGTGAGGGTGTTCTGTTTTGTTTCCAAACTTTGTTGCAGCTGGCAAGACATAATGAACAAAGTGAATGCCCAGTTGGATGAAGAGCAAGTGAACAGTTACCCAAAGAGCCTTCATTTTGACCCTGGGCCTGGGGAAGGGATGCAGAATGGTAGCCCACAGCTACCCAGCCAGAAGAGAGGGGCAGAGCTTCAAACAGCTGATCAGGAAGGCGAGAAGGGAAGGACAGATGATGAGGAACTTGAAATGGGTAGGGTTTCCATAATCCTATGCTGTACAGCATTGATTTTATAACTAATCAGGGTGGGAAGAGGGAAACTTTCTGCTTTTGTTAAAGGAAAACCTTATAACTTCTAGAGAAATCACAGAATTTGACATTGTCTATGTAAAGTGTGTAATTAACAAATGACTCTTGGCCCATGTTTTTCTGGTTAGCTTTTGCCCTAGGTTTAAGTCACTTATTTCTTTAGCCTGTTCACTCCTTCAGTTTACATTCCCAGTTTGGTAGGAAGAAATCTTCCAGACTCCATAACAATATTTGCAGTCTTCAGCTTTTATGACTCAAGTAGGTTCTGTCCTGCTTATGTCTAGTGCCTATAGGTTTGTAGTTCTGCAGAACAGTCCAACAGCACATCTTTACTGCCAACAAATGCAATAGTTACAAATTTTCATAGCAAACTGCGGAAATGTTTAAGGAACTGTAATCTTCCTTTCTCTTTCAAGGAATAAAGGCTTTCATCCAAGGTGGTATTGAAGGAGGACCTATTTCCCTTAGCTTCTGTAGATATTGTACATTTATTCTCCTTGACCAAATGAAAAGCCTGAACACTTCCATTTTTTTCCTTCCTTTTGTCCCCACATCCTCACATGTTTTCCAAGTCTGCGCAGGTTGAGTTGGTTCTTTCCTTTCCTATAGGAGTGATGGGGAATTTTGCTGTTCTTTGCAAGACTTGATCTTGGGCCTACCCTAGGATTTGATTTTAATTTTTTTTTTTTAGGAGTAATTTGTTTAGCTTATTCAGGGCAGAAAATTTCCTAAGTGTCCTTAGGGAGCTAAAAGCAAATAATTTCAAGGGCAGTTAGTTTTATTTGTCAGTCAGCTAACTGAGCACCTACAGCTAGCTAGAAAGTCTGTATTAAGTAACTGCATTTGGGCAGTTGGAGGCCAGCTCTTGGAACTGCTAGCATATTGAATTGCTCTTCCTTCTGATCCAGCTCTATTCAGACCCCTGTGCTAAGTCATTGAACGTTACACTCAGTTAACTAATAATAGAAGGAGAGAAGCATTTGACCTGATGGAACGTCCGTCCTAAGGCCATGAAACCAACTAATGAATAATCCGTTAGGTTAAGCTTGTGACGGCAGAATCTTCTCTCCTCATTTCCTGGAGGAGATTTTTCAATTGGGCTGTGCTAGGAGTTGGCAGTTGTATGGGAGTGGCAAAATGAGGGAACAACTAAATGCCTATTTGTGTTTGGTGAAACAATAAAAAATAGCCATTAAATGACTAGACCTTTGAGAAACCTAGACAGTGGAGGGACGGTGACTTTACGACATTTCTGTATGTCCAGTAACAAAGGAAAGGTTGACTTGATTGCAACTCTATGTTCACAAGCATAAGAGGGAAGCTGCAGAACTCTTTCGGGAGCAAATAAAAATGACAAAATGTGTTACAGCAACCTAGTCAGGCAGTAGGGAACTGAAATGTAGGCTTCTGGGCAGAGATCTGGTCTGAGAGAGATATGGAACTGTGGAGTGAAATGCTCTGCTGGGCTCGAGGAGCCAGAATAAAGCATGAATCCATTGGAAAACAGATTTCTTTGCTGCAAACAATCTGCCATCAATTTGTTACATAAAAGGCAGTAACTTGTAAGTCCTGAAAGTCAGCTAATTGCCTTTGTCAAAAAGGGACAGTGATGAAATGTACACATGACTAAAACTGTCTGTTGCTAGACTGAGCCAGGGTGACAAAATAGTTATTTCATGTAGCTGATTGATTGCTATGGTCTCAAATGCAGTAAGGCAGGGGGCCTGGGAACTGGGGGCCTCCTGTGAGGGTGTCATTTGAAATGCTGACTTGCATCCTGTTAAAAATTGTGAAGATGCTCCCAGCCTCATTTCTTGACAGTAGATTTTGGCTCTGGTTTCATTCATTGCTCAGAAGTAGGCCTGGATTGGGGGCAGAGGAGAGAAATCATGAGGCAGAGATGAAGGTCAGTTGTTTTAACAGTCTTGGATCAAAGAGGTGAAATAGTCCAAGCTGAGGAAGAATCTCCCAGGCCATTAGCTCACTTCATTCTGTGCAAGTGAACTCCTTCCTCCCAGAATAGGAGTTGTAAGATAACAATTGCTGTGCATAGAGATCTCCATTTGGAGAGGAGGTTTGGTATTCCTGTGCTTTCCCACAGTTATGTTCAGCTGCTCTTTCGTATTTCACTGACCTGGTTTTCAACAAGTCCCCTGAGAAGAATTGAACTAATTGGTTCACATTAAAGTGAATTCCACCCTGCAAAGAAATGGCCTCATGGCAGGGATAAGGGAGCATGAGGACCAACAGCTCTTGACCTGCATGTCTTAATTGGAATTAACAGCCAAAGTAATGACTCAACTGCACTGGCTGTGCTGGTGTCCAGTAGGGAACACTGCTGCCTCACAGGCTCCTTTAATGTTTTTGGGAGAAGCACTGAGCCCCTGCTGATGATGGACAGTGTGGTGAGTGCCAGAGCTGGGACTTGCTAGAGCCATATCCAGTTTGTGAGGCCTTTCCTTAGTTGAAAGCAACAGCCATACTTTTTAAAAAAAAAAAAAAAAAAAAGACGGGTAGAGAAATAAGCACAACAAATTGGCCTGCTTTTCCCTCATTAGTCTCTCCTCCCTTGCCTGTCCCCCTGCCTAACACAGGAGGCCTGCCTTTTGTTTTGGCATCTTGTCAGCAGCTGTGTGCCAACAAAAGGGAAGGTGGCACTGACCTGTGACCTGCCATGGCTTAGTTTGGCTCCCAGTGATGGTCTGACTGGCTGTGCAGTTGGGTTGTTGCTATAGATACTGCCCAGACTTAGCAGTGCCATGAGACAAAGATGTATCTTAATAATATAGGTTAGGATATAAGTTCAAAGCTGTTTCTTTGTATTGTTATTCAGTAAGTCAGGGACATGCTTCAGTACATGCTTGTGCCCTAGCCTGGGGAGGAGATAGTTTTGGCAGCTGTAGGAGCATAGTGCTGCTTTGCCATTTTGATCTTGCATCTGGCATTGAGAAAGCAAAATGTTAAGCTGGTGTGTTACCTGTGTTGGTTAGTCAAAGTTAGCGTCACCAGTTAAGATTCTCACTATTGGGAACAGTCATATTAACTCTGTGCCAAGTAGGGATTGACCTCAATCTGCCTGCAGGCTTAGGCCAGCAATGCTCTGTGTGCATTTCGGTAATTTCCGATTGCCAGTTCCAGGAAAGCTTTACTAACAAGTTTTTTCCAAGGCAGCTCTGAGACACCAGCCTGATCTGAACTGGGGTGTGTGGAACCTTCCATGCACTCAGAGTACCAGATCCAAGTCTGTATCATTGATCCCTTAGGTGACCTTTTATCCAGAGGGTGCATTGTAACTGTCCCTTTTCCTTGCAGATGCAGGAATGATTGAGAGAGAGGAGAACTCACATTCTCAGAAAGAGACTGTTGTCCAGGAACCAGTGGTAAGAAATATTGCCATGCTGTCATCAAGATGCATCACTAGTTCTGAATAAGAATCCAGCTGTCCCATTTAAGTAGGTGCTTTCCCAGAAGTTTCTATAACATGTAATTCCAAACCCCTTCCCAGTGCTGAAGGGATTCAGATGGATAATGAGGACTGGGGTTTTTGTTTTCTGTATCCTTAACATGCTTGAAGAGGCACAACTGGTGAAGGGCAGTGAGCCAGGACTTCCTGCTCAGATGTCGAGACACTTGGTCTTAGTTTCCCCCACTTTAAAAAAGACTATCTCTTTTGAGCAGCAGAATAGTAGAGCTGGTTGGGTAGTTTGTGTGTATGGTTTTGGAGATTATTTGCTGATGAGTGGCAATTGTACAGTGCACCGTGGGTGATCCTGGACCCTCTTTCTAGAGGTTTGGTACCATTTTGCCATTCTCAAATGGCTTGATGGGAGGACAGTACTGTTAGATCCAAGCTGAATGGGCAGAAGGATACTGGAGGAGGTTGTTGTAGCTGAAGAGAAGTGTGAAAAGAGATGGAGAAACAAAGATGTATGAAAGCAGTTGCTTAATGTCTATAGATCTGGTCAAATACTCAAGGGAAAAAGAGTACTGCTAACACTTCTGAGAAAGCAGTGTGCTGCAGGACAGCCCTGCAATTATTACTTAGCTTTCTGTTAATTAGCTGAAGGTTTATGAAGTGTTTTGATGGCAAGAAGTCCTCTGGAAGGTGCTGAACGTGCCCCTGTGTGTTTTGACTCCGTTCATTAGCAGCCCCTAGTGAGGAGCAGGTGCTCCCCTACTTGGGGGAAAGCAATAGCACTGTTAGGGAGGAGGAAGGACCTCTTGCCTGCCTCTGTAGCTTCCCTCCCCTGCTTCTGTGGTGCCAGTAGTGCTCTGGGCCTCCTGGTACCTTGTCCCTCTTACCCATGAGGGAGCCTGCAAATCCTACTATCGTGTTTCTAGGAAGGAAATGCCACATGGATTCATAATGGATGCTTTTTCCATCACCTTTCACTAAATATTCATCTTCCTCTTTCTCCTGCAGAGAACATGAGCATGGTATGGCCTTTGGATCTAGCCAGGAAATTTTCCCTGGATAAGTTTTCAGTGATTTGGCTTCTTTTGGAGAAGCAATCTCCAGGGAGAATGGAGCTGTAGCAAGATCCTTTTGTGCCTCTCCTATAGCTACATTACCACTTAAATGAGAACAGCCTGGTCTGCAGAGGAGCAGAAAAAAGACTAAAGCAGATTTGGAGGATGGGGAAAAGGCAGGAGAATACTATTAAGAGTAATCCGTAGTCCGTTCTAGAGGAGCACTGTTTCTGTACTCTTAACCACTCTGATGACATCTTGGTTGATGCAGTGATAGGGGGATGTCCTTCCTTCTGAAATTTGGGTCCCCTGTCTCTGGGCAGCAGCTTTTCTCAGCTCCTGTTCTTTGGCTTGCTGGTGAAGTTAAGCTACTCTTTGCCACTGGTCCTCAAAGGGATATCCTGCCTGATGCTCACAAGAGGGTTTTCTTGTCCAGATACCAGATGATGCTGCAGATCCTGCCCAGGACCCCAATAACCGAGGTGAAGATGAGTTTGAGGAAGCTGAGCTGGAAAAACCAGACTTTGAAGAGAAGGTGAGAGGTTCAGAGAAGTTCAAGGAGCCCAGTGTGAAAGAAGAGTCTGAGGAGAAGCTACCAAAGGTGACAAATATGAGGGCAGCTACTCCTGTAGGAGTAGGGGTCAGGGAGGGACCTGCAGCAATGAATGGGGGGAGGAAGAGGGTTTAAGGACTCAAAGGAAAACATCCCTATGTTCCTGGATGGATCCATAATCCCACTGCAGGGATGTGTCAGGGAGGAGAAACCTCTTTCTCTTCCATCACCTTCTGATTCCAGGTGACTTGTAGCCTCTGAGAATCAGTGGCTTTGTACCTGTATTTGTTCTGGCCACATCCTCTGTGCTTCTTGTAGTCAGCCCTAGCATTTACAGCATCTAGATGGCTAGTGAGCTGTTGAATAGGAGATGGCTCTCTCCACAGCTCTTACTGAAAAGATGATACATCTTCCTGTCAAGCATTAGAGACATCAATACCAAAGATGAAATACAAGCCTGTGCTTGGAATCTGGTCAGTGCAGCCATTGCTTTTCCTGGGATGGGTCTGCAACAGTCTCTTGACAGCAGTGACACCAAGTGAGAACTCTGTTTCTTTTTCTATCTGCTCGCAGAGGGAAGCCATTTATTTTGCACATTGCTTCTTGCTGTCTGAAGTCAGGCTCTGCATCAGGGAAATATTAGCTTGTTTTGACAAGCAGGAAGTTCGGTGTTGCTTCTTTTTAAAAAGTATTTTATTTGTCAGGCTCTAAAATGATGATCAATAGTGGGTTTATAGTGGGCTTAAAAATAAAGGAAGGAGCTTGGGCCAATGAACTCAAGCAGCAAGGAAACGCTGGCACCAATGCTGGAGCAGCATCTTAAGATTTGTGCAAATATAGAAAGAATTAGTGACATAATACTTGACCTTCAGATACAGCTGTGCTTGTATAACCTGTGTTAACAAGTATCCTTTCTTTGGAAGTAGTGTGTTTGCTTAACCAGTTTGGTCAATTTCTCCCTACTAAATGGATTAGACCATGCAGGTGTCATGCTGCTTTCCAGGGGCTGGAACTGCTTATCCATGTCGTGAGTCCCATAATGATTATGGGAAGTAGATATCCTTTTTAAGTCTTGCTTTGGAGGAAGGTCTGTGTCAGCACCCAGCTGACATCTGCTGAAACTTGTCCAGTGTTTGGTATGCCTTATGGTAATGGCTGAAGCCATGGTAAGGGCTGAAGTCTGGGAAGCCAGGGAACAAACATTCCTGTCTCTTTCTCCCCCCCCCCCCCCCCCCCTTCTTTTCACTCCTGTTTTCTCTGGTGCAGGAGCCTTGAGTCAACCTGCTCCTTCCCACCCTTTGCATGTTACCAGGTTTCATGCAGTTTAAGTCAGCTTGTGCCCCATGGTTTATGGATCTAGCCCACAGAATGGTTGAGGTTGGAAGGGACCTTTTAGAGAACAAGTAGTCCAACCCCCCTGCTCAAGCACAGTCACCTAGAACAGGCTGCCTTAGGACCCTGTCCAGATGGCTTTTGAATATCTCTGCAAATGGAGACTCCACAATCTTTCTGGACAATCTGTTCAAGCGTTCAACCACCTTCACAATGAAGAAGTGTTTTCTGATGTTCATACAGAACTTCCTGTGTTTCAGTTTGTGCTTGTTGTTTCTCATCCTGTCACTGGACACCACTGAAAAGAGTCTGGGCCCTGTCGTCTTTATATTCTCCCTTCTGATATTTATATGCATTGATAAGATCCCCCCACACACACCTTTTCTTCTCCAGGCTATATACAGTCCCAGCTCTCTCAGCCTTTTCTCATGAGAGATGGTCTAGTCCCTTAATCATCTCGGTGGCCCTCCGCTGGAGAAGAGAAGGATCACCTCCCTCAACCTGATGGCCGTGCTCTTCCTAATGCAACCCAGGATACCACTGGCCACCTTTGTCACAAGGGCACATTGCTGGCTCATGGTCAACCTGTTGTCTACCAGGACTCCCAGGTCCTTCCCTGCAGAGCTGCTTTCCAGCAGGTCAGCGCCCAGCCTGCACTGGTGCATGGAGTTATGCCTCCCTGGGTGCAGGACCCTGCACTCCCCTTGGTTGAACTTCAGGAGGTTCCTCTCTGCCCATCTCTCCAACCTGTCGAGGTCCCTCTGAATGGCAGCACAGACGCTCCTCCCAGTTTTGTATCAGCAGCAAACTCGTTGAGGATGCACTCTGTCCCTTCACTCAGGTCACTGATGAACAAGTTGAACAGTACTGGACCCAGTATGGACCCCTGGCATACACCGCTAGCTGCAGGCCTCCAGCTCGACTTTGTGCCACTGATCACAGCCCTCCGAGCTCTGCCGTTCAGCCAGTTTTCAGTCTGCCTCACTGTCCGCTCGTCTAGCCCGCGCTTCCTGAGCTTGCCCGTGAGGATGTGATGGGAGACGGTGTCAAAAGCCTTATTGAAGTCAAGGCAGACAGCATCCACCGCTCTCCCCTCATCTACCCAGCCAGTGATCCCATTGTAGAAGGCCATCAGATTGGTTGAGCGTGACTTCCCCTTGGTGTATCCATGCTGACTACTCCTGATCACCTTCTTGTCCTTCATGTGGTTGGAAATGGTATCCAAGATTAGCTGTTGAGAGGCACAGAGCAGGCTTGTATCGGAGCAGTACTGGCTCAGACACTGAGCTTCTCCACAGATGCAGTAGGAACCCTAGCTATAGGTGGTGCCAACTTGTTTCATTCCCATCTATAAGAAGGTTGGCTGTGGTTTTAAGAGCAGAGTATGTTGGGACAGCATGACTGGCTCTTGGTGAAGGAACTGTCCAGGAAGACCATATGCCCTGCTTTACTGTGCAGCCTGGCAGATGAAAGCAACAGCATTGAATTGCTGACTTGATTGAAGTGTCTGTAAAACAGACTTGTCTGTGAGTGCTCAGGTCCTTCTCTATGAGCTATAAGTTATTGAAAGCATTAATACTTCAGTCCTCGCCAGTGAGAGTGGCTCTGATGTCCCTGCTAGTTTCTACTGTTTTGTCTTCAAATTTGGTGGCAGGACATAGCAGGGAGAGCCCTAAGACTTCTATTGGAGCTGGGCTGACCCAGAACCAGTGCAGAATATAGATGGTTCCCTGCAGTCCTGAACCTCCATGCAACAGCTGCATGGGCAAGGGCCCTTGCCCTGGGACCCTCCTGCTGCAAGAGAGACTTTTTGTACCACACTGGGAGGAGCTGGGGCAATGACTGCCAGCACGTGGGGAAAGGGACTGGATGGGGAAAGCACAAATGGAATTTGTGCCTTTCTTCTGCCTGCACCCCTCCCTCCCCTCCATGCCTGCACTGTAGCCCAGTGTCCTCCAGACCTGGGGCTCTGATATGAGAGAGCGGTGTCTCTGCAGGGGAGCAGAAGTAGTCTGGGGTAGTGTTAGCGGTGTCTGTACTTCTGTATTTTTCAGGATGCTAGCAGACCCATCAAGGGAAGGGGAGACCCAATGGATGACTATCAAGAAGATCAGGAGCAAGAAATTGTACGACACCAAGGTGGTGGTTCTTTCCCTCTCTGGTGTGATTGCTGCCTGGGTCTGTTGGTAGCCAGGAGCCAAGTATGGATTGGCTTTTAGGAAACTAGATGTGAGCACTGCCTTGATTTTTGTCTCTGCCTACCCAGTGAGGTCGGTCTCCAAAACAAACCTGAAGCCCACTTACTTCTGCTCCCTTTTCTTTTTCTGGTGTTCAGAGTACCCTTTATGCTCTCCCTTCCCCTTTCCTTTTCTGCATCAGTCTACAGTAGTTGAGCTGTGAGATGCTTACCAAACAGCAACTGAGGTGAATTACAGGCTGTGCCAGTGCAGCTAGGCAAGATCAATTTTTGTGTCTCCAAGTACAGAGAAATTCACTATGAGCCCTGCAGTCTGCTAATGCATCGGTCCTAGTGGATCTAGCTTGTGTCTAACAGAGAGCTGGGGAGAACTGTGGCTGTGCTGTGAAAAGGGTCATTGGGTTACAGCCAGCAAGATGAACAAAAGCATGGGTGGCAGAAGGACATGGCACATCCTGCTCCTGAGGCAAGGGAAGAAGGTGGTGCTTTGGTCAGGCCTTGGTTGCCAGAAAGTGACTGCTCTTCTCTTTGGCTGGAAACAAGAACTACTGCTGTGTCTCAGAGCCACAGGACTACTGTAGCCAGTGACAAGTTGTCATCCCTCCAGGAGAAAGACTTAAGACCAGACGGAAGGGCAATGTCAATAGATTTCTGTTGTGCTGTGAACACTCCAGTGAATAGTTAAACAACAGTGGGAAGGTGGCCTGTGGCTGCCTATGGGGAGGAGTGGGTGCTGCCTGGGTGGAAAGGGGAGCTGCACGCACGCCTTGTGAAAGGAAGCAGGTGGTACACTGCTATTGAACTTGCCTTGGTACATTCTGGAGAGACAAAAAGCTGAGAAGTGGTGAGGATCTGTTCCTCCAAATAACACTAGGTTGTTTGCCAGCTGCTATCGGCAGAGGAATCCACACATAGAATGAGTATTACTGGTGAGATGCTGAGGTTATTACAAGTACTGTCTCAAGCTTTTTCAGCCCAATGTGCATTTTCTGGCCTTGGGAGGTGTAGGCCAGTCTGTTTCTGTAATAAAATGAAGCTGATGCTGGATAGTACCAGCACTATTGGTGTGAGAGCATCCTGGCTAGATAGGGAGAGGTGCAGAGAACCCTGGTTGGAAGCTGAGGTGCAGTCTGAGGGGGTTGAAAGTAGTTTGGGCAGAGGCAGAACTAGCGTTGTTGTAGTTTCTGGATTCAAATATATGGTGATAGCGAAAGAATAATCTGTATGGATCATACCCTGAGGGGAGCTGAGAGAGGCCAGTGGGCAGGTGTTCAGGACTGCTCAGAAAATGGGGGTGTGTGTGTGAGGGCAAGAGGCCCAAACTTTTCCATGGAGCTGATCTAAAAAATTGAACTGTCATATTGGAAATTGCTGCTGTCATGAGTAGGATGGGAGATGTTTCCAGTGGGGTGTTTTAGTCCTATTTTAAAGATGGAGAAAGATTTTTAAAGTCTGAATCAGGAACTACATAAAGAATAGAACATTTTTTAAGGGTGGAAGCAGAAAGGAGCTGTTTTTCATGTCTAAATTTATGACCCCAGACGATTTCAGCATTTAATGGCAGCTGCTCAAGAGCACATTTTGCCTTGGAGGCTGTCTCTCATGGCTGGGAGCTGACTGAGTGGAGACACACTATTCCCTTCCTTGCAGTCTGCAGAGCCATCTGAATGTTTATAGCTTTCTTATGGTAGCGTTCAAGTGATATCTTTGGTTCATGGCCCTCAAAAGGGCATTCTTTTTTGAGATGGGAATGCAAAGGAGACAAGGCAAAAAGTACTCATTACTGGTGAGCACAATTTCCAGATATGCCCCTTCTCCCTGTTTTATCCCATCTACCTCATGCTATATTTGAGAGCCAGGCATCTGAAAGCTGCGATGGCTGCATGTGTGCTAGAGAGGGTCACCTTGGTGCCTTCTGACTCACCCATTTGGAAATGAAGGATCCTCTGTGATCTTTTGAAAAACATCCAGTCTTGCTCCTCCTCTCCTTGTCCTTTGTGAGTGGCTGCTGCTGGCTGTTCCTCTGGCTTCAGTATGCTTTGTGAATTGAGGGTCTGGGCTGCCTGCTGGAAACAAAAAAAGAGGTGGAGGAGGGAGTAGTAAAGCTGATATCAGGGGCCATCCTTGACCTGGGCAAGAAACTAGTTTGTATGCTGGACAGTGGGATCTGAAAGTGATAGTGGAGTCTGTGAGTGCTGTACACCGTGGGTGGGATTTGTTAACCCTGTTTAAATGTGGTGGGGGTAGGATATGTTCTTCTGCTCCTATAACAGTTAGTGGCCATAGGCTATGTTAAAAATGCCCTGTAATACCTGGATAGTAAACACTTTCAAAACTAACAGTCTGGTCATGGCAGCATGTGCTACTTAACCTCTGCTTCTTGGCTAAGTGACTTGCCAGTCTCACCTAAAGGTCCCTGGCAGAGCTGGATTCTCACCCTGTAAGTTTCCCAAGCTGAGTTGTTGTGGTAAAATGGTCCTATTCAGAAGCAGTCCAATGCTGCATGTTAGAGTCTCATTCTCCAAGCCTTGCTGACTTTCCTTCCTGGCTGTTCCCTCTGCACCCAGGAGGATCATGGAGGTGAGGGGGACGACAATGATGACCTGGAACTTGTCCACGAGCAGAAGGACCATGCAGGCATACAAGGAGCTGATGGCAAGAAGGATGACTACTACTGAAAGATGCTGAAGAAAGATGGGACATGCTAGGAGTGAGGGGACAATTTATACAGGGGAACTCCTCCTGGGAGCTGGCTCCAGTATTAAATGCTGCCTAGAACAGACAAAGGCAGGAGGAGACGGCTGTCTTGGGCAGGCACTGAGCAGGGTGCTTGCAGATGTGCATTATGTCTATGTGTGGGGGGACATCACTTTGTCTCCAGCCAACGGTATGGAAGTGCTCTGAGTGTAGGAATGACTTTATCCTGCTGCTCCTCTTAGGAGTGCTTTTTGATTTGTTTTCTTCATTCTCTTGTTCTCCTCTTCCCCTCACAGCTGAAGAGAGTTTCTTATTTTTTACTGCCTGGGCAGGGGAGAGGTGCAGGACTATAAAAGCAGGGGTGCCTGAACTGGTCCCTGGACTTACTCAACTGATCACTAATATAAAGGAATCTGTCTTTATGAAATATTTTGTTCAATAGTGTATCTTTTAAAACATCATTTGCTCCCATCAGAGTAGGGTGGAGAGGAGGGCAACCTGATTGTTATCTGGAGTAATGCAAGGGTGATGGTTAACCACGAGCACCAACAGAAATGACCATGTGCCAGCAAGTGTGTATGTGTATGACTGGATCCTCTTCCAGGTTCAGAGGCCTTTCCCAATCACTCAGCTCTACAGAGCTCTCCTTTCCTTGGCTTTGCAGCTGTGACTGTGCTGCCTGGCCAGACTGAGGGCTCAGAGCCCCCCTGTCTAGGGCTGTGCATCTCGTCTTAACATTGCTGTTGCACCCTGGATTCTAGTAAATATGAGTTGGCCTGAGCTGAGATAGGCTTTTCTGGGATGGTGGCAAGGACTGCCAAACAACTGTGACCCTGCAGCACCCCCTGCAGGTCCTCCAGCTGATGGTGCCCAGGCTTCCTCCTGGGTCCACTGGACCCTTTTCCCAGAGGAAGGAAATCATAGGATGTGGACCACTGGACCAGCACTGTGCTGGGCTGTGTGCTGGTGTGAATGAAGAAATTCATAGTACAGCTGTCAGTCCCTCTGTTTGCTCAGATATTCTTCTTCTTTTTTCACTTGCTGTAGCATTTTGGTGGCATGGATGCCTTGGGTAGGACATGAACACAGTCTGGGAGGGGCCAGACTAACCTTCTGCCTAACAATAAAAAGTTTTCAAATGCAAGCAGCAGGATAGGAGCAGACATCCATTTGTGATGAGGTGTGTGTGGTTTTTTTGGTTTTTTTTGTTTTTTTAAATGAAAAGCCATGTCTGAGCAGCTGCAACATCCCATAAGAGCTGTCCCTCTTCTGCCCTCCTCACGCTCTTGGGAGAGGTGTTTTTGTTTGCTTTTCTGATGTTTTTTAATGTCTTTGCAAGAACCTGCTATATCAACACTTCCTGCCTGCACCTGCCTCCCAGACCGTCTTCCTTCCTCCTTCCCTCTCTCCCTGGCACATACACAGCTTTTGGCACCTCCTGGACTGAGGTTGCTCATGATTTCCAGGGAAGCTGAGGGATTTGCTCAGGACAAAATTTGGTGCATAGGAAAAAAATAGTAGGGAAAAGTATTTACAATGATGGATGTGAAAGAATATTTGGAGCCTGATGAACGTAACTCCATCCTGCTCAGCTTCTCTGCATCCTCCAAGCATCTGAGCTGGACTTTGGGGAGCTAAGAGAAACTTTCCTCCCTCTCACTGAGGCTTGCTTTTTTGTAAGTTGGGTATTTCTAGTGCTCTGCTAATTCATTAGATTGATATCAGTGGTGCTTTACTCAAAGTCTCCAAAATGTTTCTGGCCTTTCCTGCTCTGTCTGAGGAGGGTATGTGTCAGCTGGAGTTTAAAATGGAGGCAGGTGAAAGGAGAATGGGCTTCATCATGTTTCCTCAAGGTGTGGAACCTGGCTTATTCATATAAATAGGGCAGGGCTGTCATGTTTCCTACCTTGTGCAAGCATATGAGCTGTCTCTTACTTTCGGTCATGATGTCAGTAGTTCTGGGCTCTGGGACCACATGCACTAATCTTCATGACCTGACAAAAGATCAGAGGAAAATTCTTTATTCCCTGTTTGTGTTAGTTGTTCCCCACCCCCAATCATGTGTGGGTTTATTTTTTTGTTTGTTTGATTTTGGGTTTTTGTTGTGTTTTAAGCACTTTTTAGACACTTGGAAAAACAATATTTATCTCCCAGTAAGTTTGGTGGTCTTCACTCAGGCGATATTGATTTTTCTTCCTAGTGTTCTAATGGAGCTTAAAATTAAAATGCCTTAGAGTTTTCAGGTTGGTTGTTTTTTTCCTCCTGCTATGTTTCTTACCAGCACAATCAACTTCATGAGCCAAACTCTGGGGTAGATTGGAGCAGTTAATGCAGTTGGCTTCCTGCTTGCTTTGCTTGGAAGCAACAAGAACGCTGCTTTCCCAGATGCTGCCCTGTGTTAGAGCTACAGCATAAGGTCAGCTGGATGATAATGATGGATATTGAGTCCAGTGGAATAATCTTGTTAGGACTTCACAGACCCAATCATCTGCTTGCTGCTGTGCACTGGACCACGGCTGTGCACTGGACCGTTGGACCAGTTCTGAACTCCGTTTTCCAAAATCACATGAGAACATAGAATGCCTTACAGGTGAATATTGATGCTAGCTCTTGAGAGGACATGAGTTAAGAGAGCTCTTGGCTGCAGAATTTTAGCTGAAGCCAAGCATGGGTCCTACCTCAGCTGAGTTAGGAAAGTCAAAGGAAGAGCATCACAGCTGCGGTCACTGTAGTGCTGTCCTCAGCAGCAGTTCAGCTGCAGCCAGCCACTCTAACTTAGAGGAGCTTTCTCAGGTCTGGAAAGGAGCATTCAGTTAGAGCATTCCCAGTGTACTGCTTTAGCTCTTTTCCTCCCAGCTTCAGATCAGAAATCCAGGAGTGGCCCAGTTCCCATTTAATGGAAGCTTTTCTATTTTGTGTCTCTGCTCAGAGAGTTTCAGCAAAATCGCAATTAATACATGCAGTTTCCTGATCTTTCTGCTTTGTATCGCTCCCTGGAATAGTCTGTTTTAACTGTAGAGGCATTAAGAGTATTCAGGCCTTGAGGCGCACACAGATCTTAGAGAAAACAATTGCTTTCTTAAGGGCTTTATCCTCATCACACTATTTGGTATCTTTATGGGCAGAATAAGCAAAGATGCCAGAGGCAGAACAGCAGTCAGAGGCAGTACTGGGGAGTCTAGGGAAGGGTCTGTTAGCCAAGCATCATAGCTATCCTTGTGTTCACCCTAGAAGCCCGTTAGGGAGCTTACTGTGAAGCTATTAATGGGTGAAAGGTATCTGAAGTGACTTGAAATGGTTAACACTGTGTTAGTGCTTTACATTACCAACCTTGCTGTATGATGCAACACTGTTCACTCTCTACTGCCTGCTATAAATAGCACTTTCAGAATAAGATTAGCTGCAGGTGCAGTTATCTGTCCACATACATCCCAATCAAAAATGCCTCCAATTCTCAGCTGGGCTGGTAAGATGTCGTTGTTTCACAGTTTAGTGTAGGACCAATGACCAATATGGTCTGTGGCATGAGTTTCAAATCTGCATGCCCAAGCTGCCCTGGTGAGATATGTAGTACAGTTAATTTGTCTACTGATTTTACTCTTTCCATGCCCCTCTTAGTCTGACTCTTGGATGGAATAAGTAGGTTCAGACCTTATTGGAAGTGAACCAAGCGCTAGAAATAGACCTCCAGTGGGGATGAGACTGCATGTTGATTCAGAGACTGCAGGAGCTATCTAAATTAGGAGGCAAATTCTCTGCTTTTGCATGTCTGTGATGAGTAATCTTTGAAAATATGACTTGGAGGCAACTACAGCAACTCAAGCCTGTATGTAAAGCTCCCTGCTAGGAGAATGCTTTAGCAACCGTATGCTGCATGCCACCCTTAGCTGAGAGTTAAGCATCTCTGCCATGGATTTTCTGCCTTGGTTGTGTCCAAGACTAAAATTGGCACAGGTGCTGCTGCATAGACTAGTTAGCTGTGAGGGGTCAGTGTTTAATTGTCTGGATTACAGCAAGTTGCCCCTATTTTAATACTATTTCAATGTTTCCTCTAGCAGGGGATGGAACAGGAGGCAATATACCCAGTGGAGGAGAACCAGAAAAGCAGCAAACCTGTGGTGTTGGGTCTGTCTGAAGGCCTCTAAAGCAATATAGAATGTTACTGATCTTGTTATGCTACCTGTGGGCTGACTGCTTAAAGCAGATGATAGTGTGTTTGCCCAAGCAGCCAACTGTTGAAGCAGTTGAAAAGTCCAGGCTGAGTTTTACTGCAGACTTGAGCAGGGGCAACATCTGAAGGAACAGCTGGATTACTAAGAGTACAAACAGTGAGACAAAGTTCTCATATGAAGCCAGTATTGGCAGGCTGACCAAGCCAAAGCATGTGTTTTTGCTCGTCTCTTACACCAATGACTTGTCTTCTGCCCAGAAACAGTGTAAGGCCAAAGGATGCAGCTTGTTACAAATTTTTGATGGGTTGCATTAACACGATTTAGAAAACTAACAGAAACATGCTCTTTGTTTTCCTTTGGACTCAAGTAACATGCAGATTAGATTTCTGTAAACAAATATATTTCCAGAGTTCACACAGTGTCAAAGTATTAAGTGGTTTGTATGCATCTTTAGCCAGATGATGAAAATTAATAGTACATTCTCTGCCCTTTAGAAATAATCTTGTTTGCAGGACATAGATTAGGAAAACATATGCCTATCAGTTAGTTAAATGGAATCTGCATTTAATGAAACCTACTTCTCTGTAATCCACTCTCACTTTACTTGGAAACCTGTTTAGGATTATTAGGCTCATTCATTTATATGGCATGTTTTAGGGCTTAAAATGTGAGAATTACCTAAAAGGATTTTAATGAGATTTGTTCTCCTCCATTTATTTCAGATGTCTTAGGGAGGAAATGTCCTAACCACTTAAACTGTATGAGTGAACTGTCTGCAGCACCCTGAAATGAAAATGCCCTCTCTTATTTCTGGTTATTTATATGACTGGCTTGCTTAAGAGAATAACATTTGTTTCTAAAGAAGACTAGTCTTCAGACTCTATTTAGTTTGAGACTGGCTGTCGCAAAATTTAGGGATCAAATATAAGTCTAACGTAGGATGATGGAGTATAGTCCTACCATGGGTTGAATATCCTTCAGCTCCCGTTTCCTTTGTGCTCACAAAAATGGCTATCTTAGCCCAACCCATGTCTGGCTATTAGCACTGTTTTACACTTGATCTCTGGAGTGAAGCCTGGTAATTCTGCTGAACTCTGTGCTGCTTTAGTGTTGGAGTATCAATATATACTGGCAAAAGACAAGGTTGATGTTGGCATCACTGCCGAGCAGGGTTCAGGGGGGTTCTATATTCTGAAATTTACATGCCTGAAGAGAATCTGGAAATCAAATGAATGGCTGTTGTAGGGCAAGTATTGTTCAGTCCAGATGTATTGCTAATAAGGAAGCAGGAGACTGAGGGTCTCTAGTAGAAGGTATTCCTGTAAGCCTACAGGTACCAGGATGACAGTGACGGCACAAGGATGTGTACTCAATAGGTGCCATAAACACTTTGGGTCCATTGTTCCAACCTATAATAACAGGGCCAGTTACTCTAATCGTAATACGTAAGCAGCTAAATGGAAGTCAGTGTGCAGGTATACTGCAGTTATGCTACTGCCTTGCATGACTGAACCTGAAGGGAAGGATATAATTCTCTATTCTACTTCCTGGTAATTTTGGCAGCTGTTCTAGGAAAAACATTTGAAGAGGCTTCTACAGCTTTCCATCAAATTAGGTATTCTTGGTTGGGTCATTTTTTTCCCTCTTCTACAACTTTTAATGCAGATATGGAATTAAGGCCTGAGCTAAGTGATGTAGCACATGTGATCAGATATCTTCAATGCTGTGCCAAACATTTTTCCTTCCTGTACTGAATGCCAGACCCTTCTGTTGGATCTCTCAACAGAGCAACTCAAAAGCACCTTGCAAATCATTAGAAAGTACTGTCTGATGGTGGTACAAGATCTGATCACTGAAACAATGATAACTCTAGAGTGGAATTTGTTCTTAACAGCAGCTAGAATTGCACAAGGCTTAAAGAGGCAAAAGTAGCTTAGTTTGGCTCCAAGTATTTTCCAAATACCCCCACGTTTCTCAGAAAGAGCTGTCAGATCTTCATTGTATGCATCCTAGCTGGAATGTCCTCAGGTAGGTTTGCCACAGCCACCAAGTGCCTTCAGCAGCACAGCACCTCCTATTGTTCTGAGATGACCAAGTGTTTTCTCTGAGAAAAGCAGCCATTACTAAAATGTTAGCATTCTTTTCTAGAATTCTCTAGAAATCTAGAGACTTCTAATGGCTTTCTTTATAGTAGCAGAGGAAAAAAACACATTAACCTTGGCTAAACAGATGTGGAGATTTTTTTGTGAGATGATACTCAGCATTATGAAATTGTGTTTAAAGATTTCTTTAAGAAACCACCTACTTTGAAAAGGCAAATCTTTCGGACTGGAAAAGGTTTCTCAGTATGAGACCATTTGGTCATGTTGAAGTTCAATGCATCTAAGACAAAACTATTTTAACAAGTCCTAGATAGCTGTGAATTATGCTTTGAATATGTTAAAGTAACAGCTTGAATGAAGTCCAAGGCGTATGTTTTGGATTTGGCTTTTGTTTAGGCATGGCTGTTAAACAAAAATAGGCTTCAGAATCTTATTTTTGTTATATTCTAAGCTTATATAAGACAATAAATACTTTTAATGAAAACTTACAAAGTACTCTGTAGATCTCTTATCTCCAAATAGATAACAGTGGAGAAAGACTATGCCAATGTTTAGGCACATTGCTGGGGTTTTTAACAATATAAGATAATCTTTCTACTTTGCAAGGTTAAATATAGACAAATGCATATGTTCTGCTATAAAAATGAGTGTTCCAGTTGGTCTCACTGCCCTAATGAAATACCTAACATTTCCTTTCTTTCTTGTTTAAATGCATGTGAATATATTAGTATGTTTGTATATTTACTTCTGTTTCTTTTTATTGGTTTCTTGCTTGTAGTTTGATGTGACTAGTTTAATCCATGAACGCTCCTGTCCTACATTTTACAAACATTGATTTCTCCTCTAGTCTGTATACTTATCAGAAGTCAGCACTTCGCCTTAAAGATTCACTGCTTTGCATGTGAGATCATTACTGATGGCAGACCTGATGCTATCCATAAAGAGCTGTTCTACTGACAGCAGCACCAGATGCATCACTTGCATTTACGTATGGTATTAAAGAGGCATTGTTAAAACCTCCTCTTTGTTCCATAAGCAATAGCTGGTTTGTGAAACCACATTAAACAGTCAAATCATTTCAGTTCCAAAGGGTTCTGTATGAATAATTAAAGTTGGAGAGTGATCATTTATTTCAAAAGGTAGGAGATTTTAGTGACAGAAAAAAGCTGGGGCTGAATTAGCTAATGTCTGTATGAAGATAGGAAACCTTCCCTCTCTACTGTGTTTAAACAAAATTACTTTTTTTTTTAGAGAGCATTTCCCATGTTATTAATCACAGTAAAAGTCTTTTACATGCTTTGCAGTGATTGTCTTGCACAGTTTTTTTTTAAGGACTGAAGGCTAGTTTGAAACAAAGTATTCCATATTTAGAACAAATGATAAAAAAGAAGCATACCATCTTTCAGCAGGATTTATGGTCCTCCTTTTCTCTCTTACTGGATGGAAAGTAACTCCTGGCTTCTGGACTGCTTAAAAACTTTCAGGACACTATATAAAATCTGATAAAAACACAAACAAATAAAACACAACACTGTGGAATAGAGACAGGATTTAAAGCAGCTTCTACTGCTTTAACTGTTCAAAGAGTCTTCAAAGATTGCTTAGGTGAAGTGCCTCTTTTTATCACGGTTTCATTTTTTTAGGGGTCTTCTGTTTCCACATTTAGACAAGCCTCTACTCCCAGTATAAATCTTTCAAGATCATTTAGAAAGCATTATGGTGTAATGCTGGGATGGAGCAGTACTCTGTCTCCCTCAGTCCCCTTCTCTTCTGCACTGCTCTACCAGCAGGCTCTAGGTCAAATGAGTTGATTGTGGATTGGTCCTGGTGCTGCGAGGAAAATGACTTGTGTTAAAAGAAAAGGAGTATCTTTTTTTCTTTTGTTTTGTAGTGCACAAAGACCCACAACTTCGCCACTGCCCATCAGCTGTCCTCCTGGGGAGAACTTGTGTCTTGCTCTCGTAATTTCTCTCTGACTTTCTAGTGTTTAACAAGGACTAGATTTCTGGTCCTTAATTTCTGATTGGGGCTTTCTGCAGCTGTAATTGATTTTTAAAAATCCTTACAAACCCCATTTTTGAACAGATTATTTCAGCTGAAGGGGAAAGGGAGCTCCACAGCTTTCAGTGGGTTGTACTTTAACCCATTGGTCTGCTCTGGACAAAGTCAGTGCTGGTTGTGAGACCCTGGGGGCAGCCTGCTGTCCCTGACACTCTCCCTGCTGCTGATGTCCAATATTTGGGACCTGCGTGCAAGCAGCGGTGGCATGATCCTCACCACCACCCCCTGCCCCTCGGTACCACCAGAGACAGTGAGGGTCCTCACAGACCACGCAGGAGCCACGAAGACCGGAGCAGTGCATGCCGAGTGAGGCGCCCGTGGCCGCGGGGTAGGCAAAGCCCCGGGGGCTGGCCGAGCGGCCCTCAGTTGCG